GGAAGTAATCTGACTTAATGGTGGAAATTTAACAGATGAACCCATGTAAATGTGTGGTATAAAAAAAAAACATTTTAGAAGTGACTATATATATATTATTGTGTTTGAATAAAGGGTGGCAATCTTTCATAATCAACTGTTGTGAACTATATACTGGAGGTATATTTTAAGGGGCTAATTGAGAAAATTGCTATATTTTTTATTAGTTTAAAAATAAAATAAAAATATCGGATTAATATCGGTATCGGCATCGGGACATCCCTAGACTTAGCTTAGCTGGAAAGGTGAATAAAAGTGTCATTTTAAATTGTTAGTTACATAGTAGAACATTAATTAAAGCAATAATTAATTTTTGAAAATCTGTTACAGTGCTGCATGTTAATTAATAATCTTAATTAGTGATTAGTTGTATAAATATATTAGTGTTTAAATTATTATATATTAATATCATGTTATTTATGTTATGTCCTCATTTTTATATATAGCTCAAGAATGTGTGTGTATATATACAATGATCTATTAATCAGTTGTGTAAATAAATTGGGAAGCTTAAAACATTTATTAGTTTATATTTAATATATCGCATTATATTTAATGTGTGTGGGAACAAGCAAACTCATTTAAACTGAACCAATGCAATGCATATATAAATTAGACAAGCAGTAAAACCCATCTCTGAATATTCTGTTCTGTCAGCCTATGCAGAAGATAACGAGTAATCCTAAAATACAAAAACACACAGTTTACCTTATTCCTCTGTGCTCTTATATCGATTCCCTCAGTAAGTGCTACATCCTCCAGTCTGTGATGCCTGTGATTGTGGTAGTGTGCACCAGATGCTGAGAGCACCCATGATGCCAATATGACTGCTGAAATAAGCATTCTCAGCCTTGTCCCCGTTGTATCTGAAGACTGGGATGTGTTCTGCCACGTTAAAGAGCAGAAGCGCAGTGCAGGCAGTGTTTGGCTATTTTCTTGGTGCCTGTGAGTAAAATGTGATCTGTCAAATCAGGATTTTAAGCCCCACCACGGGCTGCCAGAGGAGATCCTTAAGTGGGAGTTTATGGAACAGACCTTAACCCTTCGCATTCCCATCTGTGCTGATCAGACCACTGTGTCGCCTGCAGGGTTTGGCCATGTTTGAGGTCTGCTGGGGAAAAAAAACACTTTGGAAAAGAGAGCAGAAGGCAATGAAAAGGAATGTTAGTTTTTTGGGGATTTGTAGCTCAGAATTTTATGTATGCTGCTGATCTCTAGGAATATTGAGGGTTTTTTGGCTCTTCTTAGCTCTGTACCTAATTAATCTTTACGTTTCTCAGAGAAGCAAGAAAATTGGAGGACAATGGCAACACAAAAATGTGTCAGATTCTTATAGTTGTTCTTTTTCTATAGCTTTATTTTGCTTGATGTGGGATCCCAAGACTGTTCTAGTTTCGATATCATTTTACATTCAATTTGTCAGAAAAGGAGTAGCTTAATTAGATTTGTAGGAATTTACAACAAGACTGCATCTCAACTGTGATTAAACATTTTCAGTTTGTTTTGTGTAATTTGCCTTAATGCATTTAATTAAAAACATAAAATAGATTGGGGAAACAGAGCTCCTCTGTAAAACAGACACTTGAAGATCAAGGTGAAGAAAAACATGTTTAATAGGAAACATGTGACGGTTTTACACCTTAAGACAAGACGAAAGGCGCCTCGGCCCTCCGAAATAAACATATATGGAAATTGAGGGAAAGAGATTGAGATGGAATAACATTACAGGTGTGTTAGCAATTATGCCAACCTGTAAAAGTTTACTGTACTGGGAAAGGGGCCAAATACTTAGAAATGTTTTTACAGTGCTGATCCTCTCCGTCAGGGTGGTTTCTTTCACCACATGACTTGATTAGGAGGATTCAAAACATTTAAACTGGAGTGTAAGAATGTGCAAAACTACATATTTTCATTATTGATTGGTCAGTGGGTTGGTTATGGAAGCTCTGTATAATTAGTAGAAATTGACCAATAATTTATTTGACCAGTGATTTTGATTTATAATCATTTTTGGGATATTACACTTAATCAGTTATCGTTTTTTAATATCTATTATCTACCAATAAATGCCACCATCTGGTGAGACTTTAAAGTATAGCTCCCAAAAATGGGATTACTGCTGGGGCTAAAAATATTGGCATATTTTGTGTTTCGCAAAGTTTGATGCTTCAGTATTTGCAGATTATTTTTTTCACATGCTTCTATAGCTATGTTTACATGGACACTTTTAGTTTCAATCAGAATGAAAACCAGGGGCGGAGCCATACGATTACAGATTCACAAACCAGTAACACTTGTCCGCAGGTCGTCTGACGCTGCTTCTGAATCTCTCCGGCCGGTGAGGTTTAGTTTTTTGTATATAAAACAGCCAGCAGCCAGCCCCTGATGACAACGACGACGAATTTCTTCTTCGTTAGTTTTTATTGGCAGTTGGCAAACAAGCTGAGTGATGCGCGATGGTAATAGAGATTTTGTTTAATTTTTTTGCCGCTCCAGCCAGAAAGACTGAGAGAAAATGAAAAGAAGTTGAAGTTATTTTAAAAACCTAAAAGATTCGGGGCTTTTGACAAAATATTCGGGGCTTAAGCCCAATTAGCCACCCCCCGCTCTGCCCCTGTTGAAAACGTTCTGATTAAAGGGACAATATGTAAGATTTTTGTAATAAAATATCCAAAAATGACTTGTACAGTGTGATATATTTCCTGCAGTTGTGTACTTACAATATCCCAAAAGTTCCTAAAGATTTTTAATTTCAGAGAAATTCCCTTTTTAAGTAATGGCTCGTCCCTTGTCATTGTCGCCTGTCAATGATGTAATATCCGCGTTATCCCTGGTTTCCGCTCGTACTCCCATAGTAACCATGGCGACAGACGTCTAGCGGCACGCTCACGCTGCTGTTGTTTCGTTCAAACATTATGGACCATGGCAAGTAGACTTCGGGACAAAAGGAGAACTAAAACGAGCATCAATATCAGCGAGAACTCCACGTCCGCGACTAACTTCGACTTGACAGAGTCGCCGCTCTTGCATGCACTTTAATAGAGAGGTGAGCAAATGTACATAAAACAAATCAATGTTATATTGCTCAACATGATGAAATGTTAGAATATGATCAGTATGTTATTCTAATGTCGATCTAGCTCACTGCTTGTCTTATACAGGAAACAAACTAACACATAGAATAACATAACTTTCAACACACTCAAATGCAGTTTAGTGTGATAGTGTAGACCAAGGGAAAGAGTGCTGCGTTACCTCTAGGGTTGGGTATCGAGTATCGATTGGAAGCGAGACTAACTTTTCGTTTTTCCCGGAATCGTTCAAAAGTTAAAATTTCGATTCCTAGTTTCGATATTCACAGTCCGCCGAGCGGAAGAAGAAACCGCTGAACAACACCAACGAAGAAGCGTCTACCGGAAGTGTTGGCATAACCGTGCGAGTCGAACATGAGTACCTTACGTCGCCGATCCAAAGTGTGGCTTCACTTTTCTAAAAATAACGAAATCTCGGCAAAATGCAAAATTTGTGACAAAAGGAGTATTTTTACAGATGGAGTATTTCCTTCAGAAAGAATTATTTCCTTCAGAAAGGCCGTTGGTTAGCAAGGTTAGCTAAACTTTTTTGACCCTGCCTCTTAAAAGAATCAGAATAGAGAATCGTTAGGAACCGGAATCGAAACAAGGAATCGGAATCGGAATCAGAATCGTTCAAATTCAAACGATACCCAACCCTAGTTACCTCACAAGTTTCATTCGTCTAATAAACTGACCTGTGTGAGTATTTCTGCACTTGCGGGTAGTTTGGTGGAATGAAATGTCCTTATTCCTTTATATCCGCCGGACTCGCGTGTGGCGCTGATATCTGTCTCTCATTAGCAATTACGACCTGTTTCATTCCACAGTCATGTTAAAAACATCAATGTTTTCACACATCCATAAACATTATTAGATCCAACAGCATGACGACAAGTTCTATAATTCCGCTTATGCGTCATTAACCTACTCCTTTGTTATTGTAAGAGGTTAGCGACCCCTAGCGGTGAAAAAAATTACATATTGTAGCTTTAATGAATCTAAACATAGTGTTTACATGAATGCTGAGGTGATCGGGTTGATGTGTGCATTTGTCAACAACTTCAAATCGGAATTGATCTTTTGACATGCACACACTCATAGGCGTCATTTGGCGTCATTTTTGCCAGGGTCGATTTTGTCCCCACCACTTTTGAAACATCTCGTGGCACAGATGTACCAGTACAAATAAAACATCTACAGTTATAACAGCATTCGTTTCATTTGTTCGTTAAATAACAGGCGATCTAGCACTGAAATGTGTTGTCTTCTCTCTGAAACGCGCTTCAATTCGTTGCGGAGATTCGTTCCGGTGAAATCACAAATCAAAATGCACACAAACGTGTTTTCTCATGGGTTTTAATCTGCTCTCGTATATTTTTTTCCCTCATCAAAACATATATAACCACTGACAAACATTATATCAATTCAACCACTGATAAACATTATTGATTTTGATGAGGGGAAAAAAACTATACGAGTGCGGATTAGAACCTTGAACCTCCCGAGTCCCAACACGCTAGCCAAAAATTCTACCACTGGACCATCACTGTACATATGCAATAAAGGCTTATATACTCTATATACTCACTATACTCGGACATTGTGCTCATTTTTATTTATGTACATCAAGAAGCTACAGGACATCGCCTTTCAAAACATGACCTACTCGAAAGAGAAAAAAAGAATGAATGCGTCATTGTAGCCAGCACTTTTGAACATGCCCCTCCGAATACGTCTCTGTCCCCAGCACATTTCAAACCAAACTGACGGCCATGCAAACACTGCACGAATATATACAAGTTTACACGAATATACACATCCCCGTACCATTGCCTCTTTTCTTTGTTTTCTGTTTTAAAAAACAGACTTAATTATCTATTTCGGGTTCTGATTAGGAGACAACGAGTACATGAAGCTTTGTGCTGTGCTGCTTATATTTATCAAGGAGTAAAAAGCCTGTTTCCACAGCCAAAACAAGGCATCTGTGGATGAGAGAATCCCACTTTTATCTTCAAAAGCATCTTGCAGTAATTTCATCAGTTGTTTATTATATTTACATGCATTACAGCGCAATGTACTAATGTAGATACATGCTTTTTACTGTATTAATGGAGAGAAAAGTGACATTGTGCAAAACAAAGCAAACGTTGAATCAGAACTGTCCGTAAATAGCAATTATGATTTTAGCCACATTTTATGCTGATTTAAGATGCATCAAAGCATACACACATGCATGCAGAAAATCAAATAGTACGTTCAAGCAGCAAGAAATAGAATTTTCAAAGTTACTTGATGTGTGTTTAATAATATTTAAATCCTGTTTTATTCTTATACTTTGGATAATGAATAGTCTGTGACGCATCTCAAAAATCTAATTTGATTGCCTTGTTGCCCCAGGCCTTTTTGGTTTTTCATATTTTTGGGGTTCAGAGTCATCATCCTTCCTTTGGTTTCTGTCAAATATCATCATCAGCCTCGGGAAACATCTGTAAGCATAGTAGTCCACTGGTCCTCTCAGCTTATTGTTGTCGAGCCGAATGAAGGTCAGCATGTTAGGGTTGCCAAGGTCCAGAGATGGACACATAAGAGAGATATTCAGATCTGCAAAGAGATTACGTAATTTTAGCATATTTTGTTTTTGGAGTGATATTTGATAAAGGGTTGGAGTGGAGCATTTCAGTCAATTTCTAATGTGTTTTTAGAATAGCATTGACTGAGTAAAGTAAGGGTTCTTGAAGTGACCATCATGCTTTATTCTACATTTGTATCTTTAGATATTTTAACCTACCTTTAAAGTCATTGTGATTTAGATACAGATGTTCCAAGGTCCTGGGAACAAAAAACAGGTTGGAGAGCTGGTTATGGCCCAAATGGAGCTCCATCAGTTTGGACAAGTTGAAGGCAAGGTATGCAACGGATTTGAGTTTATTGTGGGACATGCGTAGGGACAAGAGATTGGGAGTCTTCTTAAAGTAGCCCTCAGGTATGGTGGATATTAAGTTGTTTTCCAGCGATATCTGCTGAATCGATTCTGGAAGGTCTGTTGGCATGGACTTGAGCTTATTGTTGCACATGTTGATTTGCACGAGGCTCTTCATGCCAGATAGGATCTTTCCTTTAATACCTGCATCTGTTATTCTGTTGCTGCACAAATCCAGCACTGTAAGTTTAGTAAGCTCTCGTGTAGCTTCAGCCGGTATCTTTGAAATTTTATTGAAGCCCAAATGAAGTCTTGTAAGGCTTTTTGGCAAAGGAGAAGGAACGTCTTCCAGATTATTATGCTCAAGGTGTAACTGAATGAGTTCTTTGAGTATATTGAAAACATCTTTATCCACCTTAGATGACTGGAGCTTATTGTAGCTGAGGTTGATTTCCCTCAGGGACGTGGCATCAATGAAAGGCTTTGAAGTTATCTCTTCTATGTCGTTATGCTGAATGTACAAGTGGCGGACGTGTCTTGGGATGTTGGGAATCGCCTTGAGTTTTCGGTGGTCGCAATACATGGCAAATGGATAAGATGCGGGGCAGAAACATTCACTGGCACATTCGTACGAATACATTATTTGGGCATCGTAATCAGGTTGTTGAGTTACAGATTGTCGAGGAACTTCGAGCGAAGAGTTGTCCTCTATGTTGTAATCGAGATAGTCAAGCTCTTGAGAAAGTACCAGAGCTCCAGAGAGCAAATACACACATAGTATTTTCAAGATCCGTGATGACGTCATGATGTCTTGCTACCTGTTTGGAAAGGTCACAAAAAATTAGAAGTTAGAAGTTATTAAAGGGTTAGTTCACCCAAAAATGAAAATTAAGTCATTAATTACTCACCCCCCATGCTGTTCCAACCCCGTAAGACCTTCGTTCATCTTCGGAACACAAATAAAGATATTTTTGATTGAATCTGAGAGCTGGATCAGTCCTACATAGACTGCCTAAGGGACTGGCTCTTGACGGCCCATAAAGTCATTAAAGAAAAGGTTTAAATACCCCATGTGCCTACAGCGGCTCAATTATAAGTTTATCAAGCGACGAGAATACTTTTTGTGCGAAAAAAACATAAATAACGACTTTATTCCACTATTCCATTACTTCCTTATGGGCGCATGCGCGAGAACTGAGACGAGGACGTTCTCATTCGTCTACTTCTTGTTACCGGCTGCTCACCGCTTAGGAGTATTACCGCCACCTACCGCATAAGATGATGTGCTGATATAGCTGGAAGCGCAAAACTTTCTGTTTACAAGCAGAGGAAGATGCGCGCTGTACATACCCAGACAGCAAACTGACATTGAATCAACGTGGAAACGACGTCTCTCATGACATTGAAACAACGTTGATTTTGCTCATCGAATTAACGTTGAACCAACGTCAGACGCGGCATTCTTCAAAGCTAAATGAAAATCGAAAATTGGTTTGCTTTCATAACGTTGAAACAACCCGTTGATTTCAAGTTGATTTTCCGTTAGTTTTGAAAGAATGACGCATCTGACGTTGGTTCAACGTTAATTCGATGAGCAAAACAATGTCAGATCAACGTTGTTTCGATGTCATATTTCCACGTTGATTCAATGTCCGTTTGCTATCTGGGTACGCTTTTCAATTTGCGTATTTTCCACACTATAAGGTGCACTTAAAAGCCTTTAATCTTCTCAAAAAACGACAGTGTTCCTTATAATCCGGAGCGCCTTATATATGGATCATCATTTTATACGGTAGGTGGCGGTAAAACTCCTAAGCGGTGAGCAGCCGGTAACAAGAAGTAGACGAATGAGAACGTCCTCGTCTCAGTTCTCGCGCATGCGCCCATAAGGAAGTAATGGAATAGTGGAATAAAGTCGTTATTTATGTTTTTTTCGCACAAAAAGTAGTCTCGTCGCTTGATAAACTTATAATTGAGCCGCTGTAGGCACATGGAATATTTAAACCTTTTCTTTAATGACTTTATGGGCCGTCAAGAGCCAGTCCCTCAGGCAGTCTATGTAGGACTGATCTCCAGCTCTCAAATTTAATCAAAAATATCTTTATTTGTATTCCGAAGATGAACGAAGGTCTTACGGGGTTGGAACAGCATGGGGGGTGAGTAATTAATGACTTAATTTTCATTTTTGGGTGAACTAACCCTTTAAGAATATATTATACTGAAATAATCAATATAATAATGATTACTATCAATAATATGTTACAATAATATTTAAGTGTGCTAGTTTCCACAAACAAACAGTGTGAATTGAAAGTGATACAAAATAGACCACAAGGGTTAAACAAGAACTGGCTTTTTATTCATTTTTTTGGTCTACTTAAAGCATTTTGGTACTTTTCCAGAAGACTAAACACCCCTAATTGCACATACTTTGGGCAATATGACAAATTTTCTGTAAATGTTGATATTTGTTTAGTGTTGTCTTCTGTTGTGATGCCTGGGATGAATTATCTCAGCGGGGTTTTTTCTGTGCGTGTTGAAGGTAAAGCCTATGACTCAGATGTTGACTGCTAGTAATAATTGGTATTTATGTTTGTTTTTTAAACTTCTGAACACAACCATTTTGGAAAGACAAACACTCCCTTTGTAACTCTTCTTGAAATATTGTTTATATTTGATGTAATATTCTCCTACACTAAAAATATCTTAGTTTGGTCATAGTACTAATTTGAGCTGGCAAAGCAGATCCAAAGCGATCCAAAACATACAGTGAGTAGTTAATCTAATTTAACTACTGGAACTGCTCAGTACGACAGCCTCTCTCAAGCCATTTTCTTGTCTTCTGCAGGACTTTGACGTGTTGGTATGTTGATTTTAATGTTGCTCAGTTAAATAATGACTTATTCTTTAAATTTGAAGCTTAATCAATTATAGAAATATTTTCCATAGTTCAAAACTGCATGGAGGAGTGTTTCAATTTGAATTGGCCCTGTAAATTGTTTGTCTTGATAAGCACATTTTCTGTGTATAATTCCTTAACTGCTGATACAAATTATTAGATATAAAAAGGTTTTATATTAAATCTTGTGACCTGACTTTTGGACGTGGGTTGCTAAAATGTAAGAGGAATAGGAATATACCTCTTTTTATTGTCATGCTCAAAGCAATTCATCATTCATCAATGTGAATGATGTATAAGCTCGCAAAAATCTCAAACAAATTAGTATAAACTGATTTGATTACTAAGCAGTATTGTACTAAAATCATGATATCATACCTGTGGGGTCGTTTTTCTCTCTGTGGGAGGCCGAGTGAAATCGTGAACACCGAGTGCCCAAGATGAAACACAGCAGCCCCTTCAGCGTGATCGATGTTGCCTAAAGCGGGGAAATGTTTTTTCTCCTGGGAAGAGCGTGAAAGATTACCTCTGTGGTTTCCCCCACAGCAGCATTAGACGATTTGGGAGAGATTGTGATCTGCCTCTTTTCCGTGGAAATGATTCTGGAAGTGTTTGGTTGCATGTGTTCGGTGACCTCAGTAAAACCTCGTGGTCTCATCTGATTCTTCTTTTCCCCTTTTGTTGAGTTGAGGTTGAAGTTTCCAGACATACTTCTGGAAGGAATGGCCTAGTATCCAGTCCACACTATTGCATGTGGACAGTAAAAAATTTAACCCACAAAATAAAGGCCAGACTCATAACAGGTGTTGCACTAGCACAGCTAATGCTAAGCAAGAAGATTTAAAACTATTGAAGGGAGTAGATTCTGGATTCTTTCGCCCGGCTTCCGGAGATGAAATATGGACTCGTTTTGTTTGAGAAAGGTCTTCAGTGTATGTTAAAACATAAATCTGTTCTTCTAGCTCACCTTGACAGCTATAGGTCACAAGAGTCCTTGGAACCAACAGTTTAAGTGACCATTTCTTAGTTAAATCGTTTACTTTACTGATCTATACTATAGTGTCCTCTCCTTGAGAGAAAGAACATCTTATCTGGATGCTTTGGGAAGAGTCTCCTTTATTTAGTTTATCGTTAGAGCCCGACCAAATCCAACCTTGTAGAAGCTGTGTGTGTGTTAGCATTCTTGGTTACAGGTTAAGGAACAAGTGGCATTATTGGTGATTGACTGACTTGTTTTCTTCAACATGTTGCCACCTAGATGCACAGTCTTGTAACGACGGAGGGACACTCGTAACTAACTCGGGTCTGGTGACAGCCGTACAGACTGTGGAGATGTTCTACTGCCTATCAGTCAGTCCATGTGCGGAAATTTACTGTTTATCTATTTCTTAACCAATCAGAATCATTCAATCTGAAGTAATGACATAGCTTAGACCTTGGTGAAGATCTTTGTAAAGGGCGGCCTACGAACTCCTTGTGAGTCTTGAAAATGACTTCTGCCTGATGAAATTGTAAACTTCAGTCAATTCTTTCTTTAATTCGTTATTATTCTGACTCTTGTCTTAAATTGACTTTGCTAAATATTATTGTAACGTAATATTTAGGGCTGTATTCAACCAAAGAAATCCTTAGTCGACCAAAGTCGAGTCCTGCGCAACAATTAGTCGACAAAAAAAAAAACGTGATGTTTTGATTAAACATTTTTTAAACAATTGTCATTGAGCATTTATAAAACAACAATGAAAAAACATCACAAATAAATAAAACTATAATAATAATACAATTCTTTGAAAATTAAGTGATTTTTTTTAACTGCAAAAAGTGAAGAGCTCTGTCCTAGGTCTATAGTGACCGTCACAATCGTGCACCTGACCACACCACACGCTGCAAAAAAATATAACTTCTATCTGCCACATAATGAAAAATCCCAACAAAAGCTCTCGTTTATATAGGCTTTATATTCTTCTTTACTTTCAAAGCTATGGGTTAACTTTAGTCCTGACGATCAAGGCGTTAAAATCCAAATAACTTAAAAACAGTCCTAATAATAGGCTGTAGGACCGCGTATAGGTTTATTTTCGTTTTGTTGCATTATTTAGGCTATTTTCAAATGCGTCAAGTGTACAAATAAAAACGAAAACATTAAGAAAACACAGTCTATTGAGTCCGCATGATATAGCCGTTAAAAGGCTGTTCACGTCTTTTGCGCGCTCAAGTTCAATTTCAAATGTAGGCGCGGCTTGCGCGCTCATAATGGAGCAACGCGATCACCTCCCTCCACAGTCTTGTCGTCTTTGTTTTAAAATGCAGCCAGACAAAAGATTTAGATTTCCTGGACATTTTGTCGACTAAAGCCAAAACAAGCAGCGTTTTAACTGAATGAATACAGCATCCCTTACCGAGCGCGAGCAGCAGCGCAGCCGGCCACAGGTGCGGTTCCCGAGTATATTATGTGTGTGCGCTAAACTGTGGCACAGTTACAAAAATAGCCTAAATTAAAGCATTTTAAAGTTGGGGACAAAACAAAGGCTAATTTTATTTAGAATACAGTAATAAATAACTGCTTAGAAATGAATAAATATCAAGGAGTAAATCTCTATTGGTAAAAAAAAAAAAAAAATGCAACTGGTCGACCAATAAGAATGTCAGTCGACCAAGACGGCATCGACCGACTAGTCGACTAATCACTAAAGTTGACAGCCCTAGTAATATTTAACTTCTAACTCCTGGTGTTAATTAATCATATCTGGTCCTTGGGTCTTTAGCTGTAAATTCCCTAACACTATATATTTGTATTATATTATATTAGAATGTATACTACATTTATTCATTCATTTACATTTATCTGACGCTTTTATCCAAAGCGACACACAATTGCTATACATGTCAGAGACTGCACACCTCTGGAGCAACTAGGGGTTAAGTGTCTTGCTCAGGGACACACTGGTGTCTCACAGTGGATTTGAACCCGGGTCTCTCACACCAAAGGTGTGCGTCTCATCCACTGCGCCATCACCACCCCCACATATATATGTACTGTAAATGAAAACAAAACGCCAGTGTTTATCCAAAGTTTTGTTTAGTAAGAAGACAAATTTAAATGCCTAAAATGCATTGCAAGAATTAAGTGGGTTCAATTTAATTGGTTTAGACATTTCTAGCTCACTATGTGGAGGCCTTTTTCCAGTACTTGTACTGTATCAGAGCAAAACCACAGACGGTCTCTCATGACCTGTCTACAGAGTGTCGTTTTTTAGTTTTTTCGTTTTTTCAGAGTTGGCTAGACAGACCCCTCAGCACTCATTCTGTCAACTGGAAGATTTGTTTTTGCTGCTGCCCACACGGCAGACGCTGAGAAGTCTCCGCATTATGAACGCTACTGCGGGTTGAAAAAAACAAAAAAACGTCAAGATTGTGATCCCATGAGGTTCTTTTGGGGTTAATTTTTTGTAAGGAAGAGGGTGAAAATTTGGCAAGCCGTATTTTTGGTCTTTGATAAACTTCAGCCTGGCTTTTTTTGTGATGGATATGTGACGTTACAATAATATTTAGGCTTGGGAAAGATGAGCAGTTGCATGCAATTTATTAATATTAACATTAACAGGAGTATCTCCTCTGGGGAACATGCAAATGCCCATATGCTTTGCATTTTAATTCTCACACTTTGCTTTCACAACTGGGAAACATGAATGGACGTTTGTAGTCCCATTTCAGTTTTGAATGCGATATGCTTCTATACTCATTTATCATGATGACAGTTAGTTTATTGTACAGTGCTTCTTAAAGACTAATTAGATGACCAATTATTTATATTCAAAGTAAGCTTATACAGTTAGGGGAGTGAAGAAAGAGACTGTGTTTATTGTCTTAGGTTTGACATTGTGAATATGGAATAGTTTTTCCAGTTAAATTAAGGTTTAACTGTTGACCAACACATGTCTTGGTGTAAACACCATTAGTCTGCAATTTTAACATTTTTTTTAATAAAAAAAACCCCCAACGAATCCACAAACGTGTGTCTGAACAAAACAGTGTTTTAGAGACTTTATGGAAAATGTTCCGGGAAGGGAAGTGGTCTGGTGGCTCTCTTGAAAGGAGCTGATAAAAACAAGCTGGGTGGTTGTTTTCTGTCTTCTTTCAAAGGTATTTACTCTGGAGGGAAACTGGATGGGGAAAATTATGAGGTGTGTGCTGTGCAAGAAAGATTTAAACTAGACCTAGAATCAGTTCTTCATAGCTTTGCTCTCAAATTTTACACAAGTTTGCATTCACAAGAGTTCAACCTTATGTTCTGTTTGTGATCCAGGAGACCCCAAGGCCATTTAATGGCTAAAAAAAACCCTGAAATTAACCAGAGTACATCAATATCTGATCGTTTCAGATATTTAATAATGATTGATTCGTCATACAAGAGAAAATACTGTGCAGGATTGTTCACAACATATAAGGGTTTACACTGAAAATGAGATGGAAACATATTGGTGTATCTTTAAACAATTTAATTTCTGTGTCCGAATCCCTCAGGTGTTTTCTGGGGCTCAAAGATCCTAAATGATCCAAACCTGTTGTGAGTTTTTTTGGAGACGCCGGTATGCAAGACGTGGCAGAAGCAGATCAGGCCAACCTGAAGATTTGTTCCATATGTTTCCTGAGCAGAGCCTCTCTCTCTAGCCACCACCCCTCTGTTGTTTTTCCCCCCATTTAACCCATTCAGACCCAAATTATATTACAGGGACACAAAATAAGCTGATTGATCGAAATCTAGCTGTTTTGCTGTAGTAAACGATGACACCCACTATCCACAAATTTTGCAATACTTATTAAGTAATATGAATTTTGTAAAATTACTTTATCGCTCCACTTGTCTGTGCGTCAGAGGTGGGGATTTTATTTTTACACTTTTACACCAGTAGGTGGCAGCAAGTGACTGTACGGTTATAATTGAGCTATAGTGGATTTTTGTGTAATCAAACTACCGCTTTAATCTCTCTTTACTCTCACAGTGTGGAATAGAATAACTGATGCCAGGATACCACTTGGGTTGCATTTGCTGCACATCCTCTCTGTCTTTTGGAGCAATGCACAAACCAGAGTCCAATTGTAGTCTAATTAAAGTGTATATAAATTAGAGCCAGATCGATATTCGGGCCGATATTTGGCATTTTCCAAACTATCGGTATCGGCAGTTATAATGGCCGATAAATGAATATTTCAACAATAAAATTAAAACGGACGAAACACGCTTGAACCATGTCATGAGTGTTGGAGTTGTATAGTTTGTCCACCAGAGGGCACTCTACACCGTTCCTGTTGGCAACACTCGTTGAGTTGGTCACGATACATACATTGCTTGAATAACAATTAAAAGAACATCCTTAAATAAGCATGACAAAATTTGTGACTATCATGTCCAGTAAAAATAAATAAATAAAATATCGGCCGATATATCGGAATATCGGATTTTAAAACCCAAAAATATTTGTTTAGGTATCGGCCTTCAAAATCCTTTATCGGTCGGGCTCTAATATACATTCTATGCGAAGCCAAGCTGCAAGCGCATTATCCAGGACTGGTACAATTTCTGTGGGAGGAAAGCATTTATAGGTTACCATGCTTCTTTCCGATCAATTTTACCCCCTGGAAAGCATTTATCATAACTGAATTAACAGCATCCAGTTAACCAAAAATGGGGAAGAAGTGAAAGTGACACCTGAAGGCCAAGTATGGTAAACAATACTGTCCTAACAATTTGTCCTCTGCATTTAACCCATCCAAGTTAGTGCAAAGACATTAGGAGTAGTGAGTAGTGAACAGACACAAATGCACTGCAAACCTTGGTCACACGCAGCCATTTTTGCGAAATTTACTTTTTTAGTCTCGCCAGTCATTTCTTTTAAGCTAAAACTTATTTGTTGATCTCCAATACACGAGGGACACATTTACTTAGCACCTGATCTTAAAAAAAACTGTTCTCTAGCTGTTAGCCATTTCCTGCCGGTATTGAGAATTGAACCAGCAACTTTTGTATTACCAGCCTGACTCTCTAACCATTAGGCCACGATTACCCCAAAGGATGAGTAAATTTTGTAAAAAGTAGTAAAATAGCAGTAAAGCAGCATTGAGTTAACCATAAATGGGGAAAAAGTTGTCGGTGTGCAAGAATATGCTTTGGAATGGCCTTTACTTGGAAAGTTCAAATTTATTTGAATTGAATACAATACTTTTATAATGAAATCACCCGATTTAAAAAAAAAAAAAAAACATGACTATTTCCTATTAAACACAAAATCATCTGTCCTCATGGATAGCAACTACTGTACTTCTGTCCTGAAGAACAGGTCCAATCCTACGCTGAAGTCTCCATCTGCTGGTATCTTGTTTCATTGCAGGACAGATGACACATTCTGAATCCAAAGAGATTTAATTTCATTTTTCTTTATTTTTCTAAAGAAACAACAATATCTAAATTGGAAACAAATAACACAGCACCGCTGACTACGAAAAAAACACTGGTTGCAATGCAATTACAGTTGTGTAAACTGCAACCGACCATTGTCCATACGAATCAATTTTTCTGTATTTCTGTGACCTGACAAGAATGTCCAAGTCCATTTTTTTGGAGAAAGCACTGGCAATGAATAAAACGTTATATAATGAAAATTTTGCATGCAATATAATTGTTTGTAATCACTAAAACTATTAATAAGCACCAATGAGTAATGCCCATTCTCTAAAATACAAGTAGAACAACGAACGAACTGACCTTGTGAATTTTATTCATTTTTTCTTTGAGTCTAGACAGTCGTTCCTTTTAAGCTAGTGATCTTCAATACACAAGGGACACATTTACTCAGCACCTGATCTTAAAAAAAACTGTTCTAGCTTTTATAAAGTCGAAAAGATTTCAATGTAAACATTAACTATGAAAACCTATGTAACTATTGCACACATTGTAGTTGATTCTTTCTTTACTGGAATTCAAAGTCTTCGAAATCCTCTCTAAATTCAAGTAATGAGTCTGTAGCCTCTGCGGATGCTCTTGGATTTTGGACGAGTTATGTTCTGCACGTCACCATGAGGACATGAAATGATAATTTATAAAATTAGAATGAAGTTCATGACTATAATTCTGCCCTCCAGTGGCAAGATGGTACGTTTCGCTCACTTTCTGTTGTTGCCCAGTTGCACCGAGTTGTGGCTGGATACGCACCGGAAAGTGGGTGGCTGAATCTCCCAGTATTTCACTGGGTTTGCATATAAACTGATCCTAGTGTAGAGGGTTTTCTTAACCCGGGTTCTCGAAGGGCAAAAGTCATTTACTCCAACGTAAGTGATGCTGTTGGAGTGTAAGTACATCACCTAAAGGAAGAAACAAAGTGGATCAGATCTCTGTACACATGTCTAATTCATGTCTCTACGGCATGTGTATTTGTGTTTTACCTGCAAATATTTCAGGTTGTTTAAGCCTGGAGGAACTTTCTTCAGTTTATTGTTGTCCAAATGAATTTCTCTGACTTTGGGAATGCCAGCGAAACTTCCGTTCTCCACATACTTGATTTGATTGAAGTCGAGCCACAACCTGTGAGAGACGAGTCAATGTCGTGTTCTGTTTTTATCCACACGAGGGAGTTGGATTACCTTACCTCTGTAGACTTTTTAATCTCAAAAAATCCTCTGACTCCACTTTGGCGATCTTGTTGTAGTCCAAGTGAAGTTCGGTAAGGGAAGATGGGAGATCTGTGGTATTTAGATTTAATAAAAATCTATATTATAAGTCTTATGTACTTGGACAAATTTGTAAGCACTTTGTCTTTTGAGACCCACGCCATCTACTTTCCTTCAGGTGTGATAGTCTCTTGACTTTCTTACAAAACTTATAATTCTTAATCTTACCTTTAGGAACAGCTGTTAGCTTTGCTTCAGCTATTCTCAAGTAGAGAGTCGCCATGTCGTCAAAAGCTCCGGCTTCAATCCCGCTGTTTGCAATTGGATTTGCGCTCAGTTCTAGAGATGCAAGAAAAGTGAACATTTTGGGTTTTTTTTTTTCTAATTAAGCATTCATTTCATATATGCATTTGGCAGAAAAATGTGGACTCATGGATCACACCTGGTTGGGTTTGAACTAGTAAATTTTTGGTTGCCAGCCCTATTTTTAACTACAACGCCACAGTTTCATCATAATTCTCAGTTGTTTCTGCCAAATTTATTGAAATTAAATCTGTAAATGCAGATCTTAATGTAGACACTGGATGGAGAGTTTTTTTTACTGTACATTACCTGAAAACTATGGAGGTCAGTTGATTGAAGTGAGCTTGTTGTGTCAGATACAAATAGTGTAAGATCATGTATCTGATTATACAACAACAAGATTTAATGAGGTCATGATGGAAAAAAACAGGGGAATGGAATCGGCAATGGGGCAAGTCATACAGCTCAACGCGTTGAAGCAAGTGTACTAACTGCTTAAGCATGACTCTTACCATGTTTATTGAAGAACATCACTTAGGAGACCTACCTAAAACATTTAAGCTTTGCATTCCCTTAAATGCTCCTTTTGGAAGTCTGCTGATCTTGTTGTCATGCAGTCGCAACGCCTGAATATTCTTGGGGAGATTCTCGGGCATTTGTGTCAGCAAGTTGTATGACAGGTGGAGAATCTTGAGTTTGTCCATGTTGCGAAAGGCCTTTGGGTGAATTTTTGATATCTGGTTGTTGAGCAGAAACAGGGCCTGCAAATAAAGGAGAAATAATAAAGGTACCTTTTCCATGGCTCTTGATAGTCATTACCATGATTGATACAATTCACTTTTAAAAACGCCATTTTACAGCTTCCATTCATTTTTGTGAAATTTTGGAATGATAAATATAACTTTGTGTGTTGTTGTTTTCAAGATCAGGGGCCGTATTTACAAAGAGTTTTATCTTACCATTAGGAGTACTCCTAAATCGCACTAAAATATTTTAGCTAGGAGTTTTCTCTTAAAAGTTATTCACAACGCCTTTCAGATCTACTCTTAGTAAGGAAAAATGACAACTCTTAAACTAAGAGTGAGTCTTCGTTGCTATGGATGACGTCTATTCTCATGCACAAGCTTACTCACAATGATCACAGTGATTGGTTGTTAGATGACGGGTCATCATGCGGAACACAACACAGCAACAAATCAGGTAATTACGACATCTAAATATGCAATGCATTCTCATCCTAGGGCGTCATATAGTGACGCTTTTGACATTGCGTCTAAATGGGCCTATATGACGCCTTGGGGATGAGACCAGGCTGAAATATGTCCTACACAGTGTTGGGTAAGTTACTCTAAAAAAGTAATTAATTACTAGTTACTAATTACCTCTTCAACAATGTAATTAGATTACTGTACTAATTACTCTCTCTCTAAAAAGTATTTAATTACTTTTAATTACTAATTACTTTCAAAATCCCATATCAATCTCAACCAGCTGAACAATACAAGGATAGACATGAATCTGTTTTAGTTCTTTCAAATAAATACTATAAAATTGCATGAATTATCCTTAAACTGACCAAGGTGGAGAAGGTTACATTATAAAAACATACTTTTTAACATCAGACAATACATTTTGACGTTAAACCCACTATTGTTTTAATGTCTGATCTCATGACATTTCACACTTTTTTCATACATATTTTACAATAATTCATACGAATTTGTACGAGTGCGGTCGTAATATTTAGACACCTCATAAAATGCTTACGAATCGCTGTGAGGTCGGATTGATCTATACACAGTATTTCCCTCAATTACATCAGAAGTAACTGTAATTAAATTACAGATAAATGAAGAGTAATCCCTTACTTTACATTTTCAAGGGAAAAGTAATTAAATTACAGCAACTAAATACTTAGTAATTAGTTACACCCAACACTGGTCCTACACAAAATAATAATAGTGATGTCATCGAAATGCATATATGACACACTCTAAAAATTCTGGGTTGTTTTAATCCAACATTGGGTCAAATATGGACAAACCCAAACGTTGGGTTAAAAATGTAATCAAAAAATTTAACCCAATGGCTGGGTTTGTCCATATTTGACCCAAAGTTGGGTTAAAACAACCCAGCTATTTTTAGAGTGCATGTTTGTGCAGGCCCCAGTATAGTGTAATTCTAAAAAGACAGAAAGAGAGAGAGAAAAGTTGTAAATTAAATTAAATCAAGGTAGCCTAAACCGCCACTTGTCTAATAATGAGAAACGACACTTGCATTAACACTTGCTTGGTTAATTGACATCCTATTAGCCTAAATACACTACTTAAAGCAAGGAAATGTTCCTCCTATTGAAGTAATGTAATAGTTGAATGACGGTGGATTATGAAGTTGCCAAAACTGGACGCAGGATCAGTTACTGCTGCTGGCCCAGTTGGTGCTGGGAAAAAAACATAATAAAAGGGAAATACGGCACTGGGATATCAAGCAAAACTAAGCGTGAGAATAGGAGAGGATTTGTATACAGATCAATGTAGGATTCCCGCTTGTGTCGCGGACCCCGGACGACTGCGAGAGGTGGTGGTATGCGCTACAATCCTCTGTGAATAGGTCTTAGTGAGATAGGAGTCATCTCGACTTCTTTTAAGCTGTCCCAGACTTTGGTGCTACTTTTAGTGCTAAAATGTGTGAATTAAATGAGGAGTCCTGAGTGACACGCCCATTATTTTGCTCCTAAATTCGCCAGTTAGGAGCTACTTTTAGCCTTAAAATTCTTTGCTCTGGGCTGTTTCTATTTTTTTAATGCCCCTGCTAGTTTTTGTTTTGCTTTTTGCACAGCAAAACCATTTTACCACTAATCATGAGCAAATATTTACCACAAGCATGAAGCTGTCTACAGTGGATGCAAATGTCAATAACACTCAAATATGTGTCCACATAATTCTGCTACCACTGCATGTCTTCTCCAGATGTCCTTGTGTAAACCCAGTATAAAAAACACTCCCCTTTAAATGCTTTTGGGGCATTTCAAGAGTTGAGTTTACTACTTACATAGAGATTATCCAAGCCTTTGAAATCATCTTCCTTGATTTCCGTGATGTCATTGTTTTGGAGATCGACGAGCAACGTGTTTGCAGGAATGTCCTTTGGCACCTTGGTCAGACCTGTGAAGACAACAGAGATGTGAGATTTTATAGACTAGAATGTAGAGATGTTCAAAGCTGCACATTTTAGTGGGTTGCCTGAAAGACTAGTCGACAAATTAGTCTTAAAGAAACCCAGTGTGATTATTACCCCGATTCAAACATTTGATCTTGCATTTAATAACAGAATGATGCATTTGTAAAAATGACGGGCGACTTTATGTGTGTGCTTCTGGGATGAGCGCACAGAAAACCGTCTCTCAGAGAAAGCATGAGCACTACTGAATTCTTTCAAATCACTTTGACATAATAAAAAACTTTAGTAAAGTATCATATCGCACCGTGCAGCTCGCTTGTACAGATGATGTGGTGTTGTGAAGCCATGTGTGCATTTTGAAAGAGATAGAAGCCGCAGTAGCGTTGAATCACTCTCGCTGTTTTTGAAATAGCATATAGCTATCAAATTACAGATTCGATCTGATAATGTGTGGATTAATTTGTTCATTCAACCAACAAGCTAATTAAATAAATGTTTCCTGCATTATAAGTTTGAAACCTGCGGGAATGAGTAATAATTTTTGGCAAATTCCTGCAATCCTAAGCCGAAATTCGAGCCCTGGGAATAGTTGTTTAAAGCAGTGCTTACCCTGATCTGAGCACTGGAGAACTTTCTTTGAGCACCGACACCCTTCGGGACAGTCCGACACAAAGTTATCATCATAATCGTGGTAATCGTCGTCATCATCATCGTCGTCATCATAATCACCCGCATCTTGTTGCATGATGTCATGATGCTTGACGAAATCCATGACATTGATAGGCATGTATGGTTTTGCGTGACATAACGTCAGCAGGGTGAGTAGTAAAAGTACCTTCATAGTGCAGCTTTTGTGTGGATCTTTAGTCATGAATGGTTCGCCCTGTGAACATGAACACGAGCAGTTGTTTAACCAGCACTTTGTCAAATTGAACATGTTACTTTGCTTTGTATTATTAGCATATAGAATTGTTTCACAGAATGAAAGAGAAAATCGTGTGAATTGGATCCCAAGGTTCCTGATTGGTTTATTAGTTAGCATCACAATGAAATGAGCCAATGGGAACTGATCACAGGTTAAAGAGACTTTCTTATTTCATAGCACTTTACGGTAAAATACATGCTCCTGAAATATCACGACTCAATATTTTTATGGTGATTTGATTTATTTTGTTTTTGCTTTCCTTTACCTGCACAAATGTTGAACCAGATTCAATTCAGTAGCACTAATGAAATAATTGTGAGAGGAAAAAAATTAATCATTGCTTTAATTGTTTGTGTAAGAAGTTAAAATGATCCAGCTGTACCAATCAATTGTTTATGGAGCAATCTTGTTTATGGAAGCCTCAGTCATCATCGCATGAGAAGGTGGCTCACAGTTTATAGACCTTTAAGAGTTGTTAATGGTGCCCTTTTTTTCTGACGCCAACCACATGACATTTAATGGTAAATCTAACTCATCATTTGGCATTTTGTTGGATTTTTGCTATTCAAATCAAGCTGTTAAGAATTCACCTGCTGTAAGCGATACATACAACTTGAATATTTATGCTTTAAAACAATTTAAAATACCTGCTTTAAGAAATATGCATTGTTATTTGACTGCTCAGCATCATGAATGATGAATAATTTATCTGTAAATGTCACCACAGCACTTTTAAATTAATCAACACTCTCCCAATTAATATAATATAATGTTCTCTGGTTTATTTAGCTGTTCGTTTGAATTCATATGTCTACTTTTCTTAGAAATATAGCTTCACTATGGTGGATTCAGTTATCTCAAGTCTAGGGACGGATGAAGACAACATACCTGATGAATCTGTGTAATCCTTGTTCAAGTAAGCCTCCAGGGATGAGATCAATGTTGCCGTCTGGATTTGTTGAGATACAGGTCCTTAAATGCAGCGTGCACGAAAGCCCGAAAGGTGGAGATCACGCTCATCAAAGCATGAGACCCTTGAATGAATGGGGATGGAAAAGATACTGCTGGTTCAAGGAGCAGAGGGGTAGGAACTGCACGCAGCTCTGCTGGATGCTTAACTAGCACTGAACACTCATTGTTACCAGCCGTATGTTTCTCATCAGCACTTGAAACTTGGCCAATTTTTGTGTGCCTAAATTTTCAATGGCCGGTCTGGGATACTCTCATTCTTTACATTGCCAATGGGTGGTCTCGACTTATCTGACTTTTGAAGTGTTGGAATATTTCAGTGCACATATTATTGCATAATTTGTAGGGCTATTTCTGGGCTTCTATTTTTAGTGATAGTGATATGATTGTGATTCTATTTTTCTGATAGTGATATGATGTAGATAAAATAGCTTTTAATGTATAAAAAAACATCAAATTAAACTCAAATTGTTAGACATTTGCAAATCTTTCTGCTTGACCCAAATCAGACCATTTAGTATGCTTTATTTGACATCCGCTAGAACTGGCATCAATTTACTAATAAAATCATTGACTTTAGTCAAGTAAATGCATGTTTCGCGTTTCTTGAATAAATCATTCTTCGAATGAATGTTCATGGGACAAAATACGGCAAGTCCCAAATCTCCCAATCCATGGGGGATCTTTAATCTAAAACAAAATTTTGGATAATAGCTTTTCCAGACTTTACAGTGCTGTTTGCTTACAGCAGCACAAAACGCGACCCCTCTCTATTCACGGGGCAGTACTGGTGGCGCCACATATGCTTGGGTTTGGCTGGGGGTTTTGAGATGATGGAAGTTCCTATGTCTCATGGTTTCTCCGTTCATTCTCCTGGGTCTCACTGGCCAGCATTCCTTCCGAAATGATAACCAACCTCAAACCAATAAAGGTTTGTGGTATGTCGAGTTGGTGCCGTAAATTAAAATGGTGTAGATACTGTTACAGACACAACATGAGGGTGAACTGGTTTAGGAAAGGTAGAAATGTGCTTCGATTATTCAGAAAGTACCAGTAATTTCCCCCAACCATTTTCGAATTCTTTTGTCTTTCACACCCTCAATCTTATTTGTTGTAATGTTGTGACGTACAGAACCATGTTGGAAATGTCTCGACCTTGCAAACACTTGGCGGGTTTCCACAGCTTTGCTTGTCCTCTAAATATAGAGCAAGATTTAACTGTACCCAGACACTAAGAGGGGGTGGTTCAGCTGTTGATTATTTACCCCCCAATATAAAAGTAAATAAAAGCCATGTGACTAGTATGTGAGTCATTGAATCGTGTATAACTTCATGGAAACTTATGAGATAATCCGCCTTCGGGGCATTTTTTTTGTTTATTCTTTCCTCTCATTTTATTTCTAGTCTGAAATCAGTGAAACCCCAACTCAACCTCAGAGGCATGTTTTTTCAGTAATCGTCCACATTTCACTGGCTATGATGTAGTGAGAACTCGGAATCTTAGAAGAATCTTAGGAGCGGAAGACTATGATGTCATAGTCAGATCATTTACAGGGGTCATTAATGTGCTTCAGTCTGCAGCGATTCCATTAGCACAGAACTTCTGTTGAACGTTTATAGATCGCAGATGTTTCATACTGAGATTTTTAGGAAAGAAGTACAACAGACGTTTTAGGAAATAGTTTTATGTGATGGCTTAATTCAACTCACACTTTTGGATAAAATGAATGTAAAATACATAGGAAAATGCGTTTTTATTGAAGCTGTATTGATTTTCCCACTATATTCGAAACTTTAATCTGTGCTCACTTAAATGACTTTAATCTTTCAATTATGCATCACAGTTCTCTCAGTAGTAAACGTCCTTATTGGTCCTGTCTTAGTAGAAAAATGCATTATGTAAGCAGGTTTATTTTGGCTGCCTTCTTTTATAAACACTTAAGAAAAGCCATGCATCCTGTTTTTCTTCACTACGACAGACAAACATAATACTGTTATGACAAGAATAAGATACATCTCAACATCGAATACAAAGTAATATTCTGCTACTAAGTAGTGTACAGTTGATCCATGCATCCTACAAAGACACGTCTAGACAGGCGCCGTGATCCTCGTGGCTGTGATCATGTCTCATCTTATCTTGACTAATAAATGGAAGCTTATAAAAACCTAATAAAACAAGACAGAAAATAAACATGCCAAACAGAGATTCAGTGTAGGAATTGTCTCTGTTAGCAATTTTTGGGGTAAACAAAAAAAAAAGAAAGTCATATTTTCATGATAACTGTACGTTTCACAGGAATCAAATTAGTTTTATGTTTACGGTCTTTAGTGGTTTATAATAATAGTAGGCAAGATTACAGTTACTTAATCCTCTGAGGCTTTAAAACAACACTTGAGTAGGAGCGGACGCAGGAGAAAGCCGTCGGTGGGATTTTCCGCGGGTCAAGGAAATTGTTCTCGAGGCGAAGGGCAACTAGATGAGAGTCATCGTTATTCAAGGGGTCGCAGATTGCGTCTTCTGAAACATGCCTGTTGGAGGAAGAATTTAACATAATCTCAAAGTTCTCCTTATGTTGCAAACAATCATTTTGCCGATATGTCTGGAATAATTATATTTTCACGGGATACTCCACTTTTTTTGGAAATAGGCTCATTTTACAACTCCCCCAGAGTTATACATTTGAGTTTGACCGTTTTCAAATCCATCCAGCCAATTTTCTGATATTTAAAAGAATATCAGTAACCAGACAGTTTCTGGTCTCATTGACTTCCATAGTATTTTTTTTTCCTACTATGGAAGTCAATGAGACCAGAAACTGTCTGGTTACTGATATTCTTCTAAATATCAGAAAATCGGCTGAATGGATTCGAAAATGGTAAAACTCAAACGTTTAACCCAGAGGGAGTTGTAAAATGAGCCTATTTCCCAAAAAAGTGGAGTATCCCTTTAAATATCTTACATACAGTACATAAATGTATCTTGTTTCTGTTGTGTATGTATGTGTCCTAGGAAATGAAACTAGATATGTTAGGCTAATCTTTGCATGAGACTAGCACTATACCTTATTTTGTTGTTGTTAAGTCGTAGGAAATGTAACGTTGTCATCTCATTAATTCCCATTGGAATAGACGTAAGCTGGTTATGGTCTAGACAGAGTTCAGTCATAGTGTTGAAGGTGCCAAGAAATGACTCTGGCTCCACAGCGTCACCATCCAGCTTGTTGTAAGAAAGGTAGAGGTACTCAAGGCCAGGCTCCATGTGTGCGAACACGTATCCTGGAATGCGTTCAATCTGATTCCCGATCAAAACCAGATGAACCAGTGACTTTGGCAGGAAGGATGGAACCAGGTAGAAGTTGTTGTGTGAGAGATCTATAGATTCCAGGTTCCTTTTACAAACAGCGGGAAAAGTAGAATTAGAGTTCATACGTTTAAAAGAAAACGTTTTTTCTCTTCTAGATACTTTTCCATTTTTCAGTTCTCCCAAAGGACTATTGCACGAAACTGTTTCGCAACTTTAGCATGCAATATTTCAGTGCAAAAGCATATTAACTAACCACCCACAATGGTTAAATTTTTGCAGTTTCAATTTACTCTGCAAATTAGTTATTAATATGCAAATTAGGCTTACAGTGGTGTGAATAAGTTTTGGCCCCCTTGTTAAAGTTGCCTAAAAAGAGGAATAAAAAATCATCTTTTGGATATTGATCTTAATGCCTTAATTAGAAAAATGAGGAAAACTCCAACCTTTAAGGACACCAATTTTCTTTGTGAATGAATAATGTATCATAAATAAATAAATGTTTTTCCTTAAAATACAGGGTGCATAAGTCAAGTTATTTCATGGATCCAGGATAATATGCATCCTGATAAAGTTCCCTTGGCCTTTGGAATTAAAATATCCCCACATCATCACACACCTTCCACCACACCTAGAGATTGGCATGGTTTTACTTCAGTTAGCCTAATAGCTGGTTTGATTTGCATTGAAAGATGATCTTATGGAAAGTACCCCATGCCAATCTCTTGATGTGGTGGAAGGTGTGGGATATTTTAATTCCAAAGGCCAAGGGAACTTTATCAGGATGCATATTATCCTGGATCCATGAAATAACTGGCTTTTAAAAATAAAAATCTGCCTGACTCTATGGGAATTTAACATGCTGCCCTGACTTATGCACCCTGTATTTTAAGGAAAAACATTTATTTATTTATGATACATTATTCGTTCACAAAGAAAATTGGTGTCCTTAAAGGTTGGAGTTTTCCTCATTTTTCTAATTAAGGCATTATCCAAAAGATGATTTTTTATTCCTCTTTTTAGGCAACTTTAGCATGGGTGCCAAAACTTATTCACACCACTGTATAATAGAACAAATGTGAACAGTATTTGCCTAAATATTGGTTTGATTGTTAACCTTGTTGAGGACACGCACCTGTGATTGATCCAGGCCAAAGGTGCAATACTCGTCTCATCTAATTTATTATGTCGTAGCACAATGACGTTGATGTTTGCGGTGTGGTTGAATGCAGTTTCAGAGATGTCTTCAATCAGATTGTTTTCAAGGTACAACTCCTAAACGTCAAAGAGAATATGAAGTAGCTTATACAGTTTGCTTCATTGAATAAATAAACAGAAACAGTTGTTACATTTGTAAGTTTGACTTGAGCAGCTTTGAATTACTTTGTGGTAAAGTTTTGGTTTTGGTTTGCCATAATTGCTGTTTTAGTGCCGCTGCTTTCCCACAGGTACTGTAGAACCAATGCTGATTTGTAGCCCACAATTAAATGAACAAAATGGTTTGACTAAGTCATGAGGTTCCTTGACTGGAGAATAGTTGTCCATTTTCAAAACTTACCAGTAGAGATGGAGGGAGGCCCTGAGGAATGGTACGGAAATGATTTCTGCTCAGCCGAAGGTAAGTCAGCTCTTTGAGGGGCTTAAAGGCCTGTGAATTCACATGACCTTCACTGAGCAAGTTCCCTTCCATTTCCAAAGTAACCAGACTGCTGAGACCTTCCAGGAATTATGAAGCAGTTTGTGAAAATATTGTGTTTTCTTTGTACAACATTAGGTAATGAGCATTTCATGCTAGTATTAGCTGATTAAATGTCAGCGTTTCGAATTATGCTAACCTTTTTACATGGCAATTTTGCATAACTGTTTTACCTTCAAAGCTGTTTTCCTCAATTTCTTTTAGATTGTTCTCATTTATCTTAAGCTCTTGGAGTGTTGATGGGAGCTCAGAGGGAATTTGTTCCAGAAGGTTTCCATCCATATACAGGCGAGACAGGAATTTAAGACCCTTCAAAGAAAGTTACATAAAAATCACGTCAGTAATCTTTAGGTGCGAATAAATTAAGGTTATACTTTCGAAATCCTTCAGTGAAAGTTTTCTCGCAAAGCTTTGGATTCTTATTAGTTGAGCTGACGTGTATGTTTTTATGGTTATCGATCCCTAAGCTAACAAAACACTGGACTCCATATGCCATATCGCTATCATATACTGTATTTCTGATTGTAACACTAAGCTTTCTGATGAATTGACACAGTCTATAGTAGATACAAACTTCACTATTTTGTCTCAGATGATGGGCATATTTCTACTGGTTAGAACCCAGTGAAAATAGGAAAGACTAGCGTAGCATTCCCTCTGTTGTTTCACTTGAACATATGCCATGGAATTTTGTTTTTATTTGAAAGGCTGTGCAAAAAAAGCATGCCTACAAGTGTCAAGTACAAGTGGGTATAGTGTTTGTATAAGAGCAAGATTTGTGAAACTTCTGTAAAAGCCATATGGTTATGAACAGAGCAAAACATTGGAGAAAAGTGTAGTTCAGGTTTGCAGATTTTACTGTTTTTTGCACGGCTTTAAACCGTTATGGAAGAAACATTTGCTTCTCTAATTCAAATAAAGTTCAGCTGGAAGACATGAAGAAATGTTCCTATGAATTTCTGAACAAGAGGCAGCAATGGAAATGAACATTATCTCAATTGCCAGAATCCTAAAAAACTATAAATGTACATGTCAGCCTAACACAGCAAATTTACACTCATGGGTTGGTTTTCATGTCAACAGTCCGATTATTTTCTCTTTTTATTTTCTGCCTCTCTCTACGTTAAGTAGACGTTTAATATTCCAGCAACGTTATTTGAGATTGCAGTCTTGGTCAAATGCCTTGCAGATTGTCAAGATCACATTATTGGCAACAGACTAGGCTTTTTTGGTCTGATGCAACTAAATGGTTTGAACATGCACAATATTTGCAAAAAAAAAAAAAATAAATAACCACAGGTATTAGTGATGCACCGATGTGAAAATTTGTGGCAGATACCGATAACCGATATTAACATTGCTGTTATGGCCGATACCGATATTTACCGATGTCGATATCCCTGTATAGATGTATAGAAAACACATAGCGAGGATTAGGGCTGCACGATATTGGTAAAAAATGACATTGTGATATTTTATTTTTCTGCGATATATATTGTGATATAAAAACAATTTCACCAGATTACTTGAATTGCTCTATTTGGAAAGAATGAATCATTCTAGAATGACTGGGGTAGTTTTGTCATGGAGTAAATCTGCATAGAAACTAAAATTAATAGAATGTTAACAAAATTTGTTAACATTCTATTAATCTATTAACCTTACACTTTACAATAAGGTTCCATTTATTAAAGTGTACAATGTACACTTTAATAAATGGAACCTTATTGTAAAGTGTTTCCGATTTATGTCTCTTGAGCTCAGTGTTGGACAGATCAGTTGTTTTAACCATTCATTAAAGTGAATCGGATCAAAGGAGTCATTAGTTCGCGAATCGGATGTGTCATTAACGGAACCACGGCACACGTTGTGATTATCCAGGCAGTTTAGAACATCGCACGAGATTTGTCTCGACCTATTTTTACAGTCTATGGTCTCGACAGTCGACACAGAAAACATTTCATCAACAGATAGATTTTTTTGGTTTATTGAAAGTGTGGTTTCACAATTCACAACCAGTAGTTCAGAAGAAAAAAACTTCGGTCTTCCGACCTTTTACCGTCGTGTATTCTCAAAGATATTCAGTCAACTCAATTCATAAACATGCGGGAGGGGGAGAGAGAGCAAGACATTTTGAAGACGGCGCGCGTGACCGGTGCTTTCACTCTCACTTTTTCCCTCAGTTAAACAAGCGCAAGACATTTTGAAGACGGCGCGCGACCGTTGCTTTCACTCTCTCTTGTTCCCTCTGTTAAACAAGCGCAGCAGTCACTCATCTACATCACTTACCCGGTCAAATATGGCTTTGGCGGGACAAAAATACGCATTAGGAAGGCTGGCAGAAAACAGCTCACCAGTTCCAGTCTTCGTGGCTTGATGTTTAAACGCACTTGCGCTTTTAATACGCGTACAAAAACACACTCACACCTACACGCACGTCAAATACACAGGAATGATCATCGGCCTGTTCACATCGGCCCTATTTTGACATCGGAACGATACCGATGTGTAAAAAATTGACCAAATCGGCCGATATTATATCGGCGGCCGATATATCGTGCACCACTAACAGGTATTCAGTCTTGTAACAAATGTGTGGCGTTAACATGTGAAACATGAATGTTTTGTCATCCAAACAATTGCAAAAATGACAAGGCAAGAAAATTGCAGTTGGATTTTTTCAGGGATTTCAAAGAAAAAGATGTTGTTTATTGCGGTTTGTTTTTAACTTACTTTAAAAGCTTGTGGGTCTATGCCAGAGGACACGATCTTGTTTTTCCCTAGGTCAATCCATTCTAGATTGGGAATGCCATTGAATGCTCCAGCAGGGATGGATGTGATTTCATTGCCTGCAATTCCATAATGCATGATAAGTTATCAAAATCAGCCTCGCTGGGATCTGTATACACAAACTGTGTAAACACTGGCATATGTACTGATTTAGGCTTAATTTCTTGCATGTGTCTTAGGTAAAGATCTAAGTTCAATTTCAGTGCCTGTATCTCGTAACGGGATTATGCGGAGATGTGGCCTTCCTCACCCTGTAGGCTGAGTGATTTGAGCTCAGGAATGGACAGTGGAGGAATACCCGTCAGTTTAGCATTTTCACAGGTGATAGTGACATCAGAGATCGAACAACCTTGTGGGAGCAATGTGGTTACCATCTCAGACTCCTCCTCGACGACTTCTGGTTCCTCTTCGCCTGGTTCAGTGTCCTCCCCGCCTGGTTCGGTTGGCTCTTGGAGAGCTAAGAGAGGAGGACCTGCTGCTCTCGTTGGTGGCATTTGAAAAACGTCTCCCCTCAACCAGACCGCGTCTTCAGTGGCCTCGTCCCCACGGAGTCCTTCCTGGGCACGTTCGGCTGCTTCCTCCAAAGCTCTCATCATCTCTTTTTGCTCCATCTCTAGCCTACGAGCCCTGTCCTCCTCGGCCTTCCGCTGTTCCTCCATCCTTCTCTTCCTCTCCTCTGCCGCCGCTCTCTCCTCTTCCTCCTCTCGTAGCCTCCTTTGCTCCTCCTCTTTTTCTCTGGCATCTTTGGCTTCTTTTAACTTTCTCTGTCTCTCGGCTTCCTCTTTCTTCTGCTTCTTTCTCTGCTTGCGATCAGCATCTTTTTTGCGAATTCGTTCTTGTTCATCCTTTTTTTGTCTGTCTTTCTGGCTTTCTGATATTCTGGTATAGGGCTCGGCGAGATCGTTGGGAACGGGAGAGTCACCTGAATACTCTGGGGCGTCGACAACTGAGACCGTGGCAATAGTTCATTTATAAGACAAGGAAAGATCAAACACAACAATTAATATATATATATAATATGCTGGCAGGCAGTGCTAATGCCATGCTTTAACCAAACCTGGGTCAATGCAAATTGGGCAGCACTCTCCGATTCGTTGAAATTTAAGTTGGCACCGTAGGGCGGGACACAGTATTTGGTCGCAGACCACCTCACCGCTGGAACACAGGCAATTCACGCATGGCTTCGGCGACCACACCGCTTTATCATACATGGTGATGCCTCGAAATACACAGTGCTCTGATTTTCCTGGAATCATTTTATAAACAAGAAAGAAACAATAAAAATATAATTCACTTTAAAAATTGCAAAGATTGGCAACAGAAGCCACATTAGGCCTTGTGTCCACCAAAGCGTTTTTAGCCAGCTGAAAACGCTAGACGCTCTGCTGAAGACGGCGTGCTTTGGGCGCTCGAGAGCGTTTTGGCAGCGCAGCGTTTTTTCCGTTAAGATGTTTCGTTGCTATGATACAGAAGATCCGCAGCAGTTGAATGTTGTGACAGTTGGTCGGTGTGGTTTTAGTCCCGCCCCTCCTCCACTGTGATTGGACGGCTGGGTAAAAAGTGACAGTGATGAGCGCTGCATTTTATCCAAAGTTGAAAATTTTTCAACGCCCAGCGACCAGTAATAAGCGCTGGGCGCTTCAGCGTGAAAAAACCGCTCAGCGCCTCGGTACGCTCATGGCGTTTAAAAAACGTGGCGCTCCCATTGAAAACAATTGAAAACATACGCCAGACGCGTGGAAAGACGCTTTGGTGGACACGCGGCCTTATGCTTGTACAGGGCTGTTAGGCGATTTTGGATGCTAACACGCTTGTTAAGGCCCAATGTTTTCATCCATCCATATCTACGCCGTTAAATGTCAGAGTGATTCCGCGTGTATGTACACGCCATTAAATGTCCGAGCGAAACGAAGCAAAATGCAACATGACATCATGACTTTTGCGTAAACATACACACCACTTTCGAGTCAGGTGGCGTGTTATCTCTACGCATTTTGAGCTATCCGCGTGTATCCGCGTGTATGTCTACGCCATTAACGTCCGCGTCATTCCGCGTGTCTGAACACGCAGTCAAATCTCCAGTCATAAATGCCATTAACCCCAGTGACGGTTAAGTTTAGGGATGGGGTTGAGGTAAGTCATATCTTTTTTTTTCCTAGGACGATAAGGGAACAGTCATAAATGCCATTAACCCCAGTGATGGTTAGGTTTAGGGATGGGGTTGAGGTAAGTCATATATTTATATAACGTTAAGTCAACGGCGTTCATAAACACGCTGAAAGGCGATTATGCGTCCTAATAGCACGCCAAAAATGGAAATACGAATTGGCGTGGCATACACATGCTACTTCATGAGATCAGTCTGCAAAATGTAGATCTACGTCTGGGGAGCGATATTTTTTTCCTAGGATGGTAAGGGAAGACTCATAAATGGTATTAACCTCAGTAACGGGTAGGTTTAGGGACGGGCTTGGGGTAGGTCATATATTTATATATACAGTAATGTAACGTTAAGTCAACGGCGTTCATAAACACGCTGAAAAGCGATTATGCATGTTGATAGCACACCAAAAATGGAAATACGAATTGGTGTGTCATAAACACGCCATTTCATGAGATCAGTCTGCCAATGGATATAATCTGGCTGTAAAATGGTCATATATTGCAGTCTATCGCAACAATGTTTTCCACATGGCAAATGGCCATCTACATTCTCGTGTGCAGAGATAAGTTTCGCAGTTTAAAATGGTGCACACATGCTAGCAATACAGTAGTAAAACGTGTCTACTGGGAAATAGTGTTTTTTCTGTTGTTTTTAATGGAGTCTTACTGACCACATTTGCATTGTTTGTATTTTTTTTTTTTTTTACAGATCTGTTATTGAGATTAATGCCAAAGACACTTACAATGTGTGTTGGTGGTATTATCCACTACGGTTTTACTTCTAAGGCGCAAATGGATGTTTGTGTTTTGTAAATTGCAGGGTCACACGGTCGCATGTTGGCAGTGTGTAATCATGTGGTCAGTGTTCAGTCCTGACCATTACCACCCTGGGCAAAATGGTCATGTACTAAACCATGTAAACTAACCACTTCTGTTGCAAAACTCTGTAGGGCAATTTGAAGACTCTCAATGTACTGTCAAAGGAACGTACATGCATTCACAACATTAACTATATCTAAACAATAACCATATTTCACAGTTTTAACATGGCTATCTGGTTACTTTTATTCACTTATCATCGTTTGTTTATGAACAGTAAAAGTTGGCATCAGCTATTGTCAAAGATAAGTTATATACACATTGATATATGAGGAAAACAACTGTCTTAAGTTAATGATCTAATTTAATGGACAAGTAGTTTATAGCTTGACAAACTACAGTTTCAAAGTCGCTTTCCCAACACTGACCTGCAGTCGTTTCATAGTCTGGTTTTGGCTCTTTTGTGTTCCTGTAAGATTCAATAAAAATAGATCCATCTTGTCCATTGCTTTCTGGCAATCTTCCCTGCTGCAAGGTGGTTATAGTCGTCTGTTTTCTTGCTCGTTTTGGTCCAACGCCTCGTCTTCTACCTCGTGCCAAGTGATGAGACTGATCTTTTGCAAGGCTGAAGGTCATACATACGAAGAGTGACAGTGCCAGAATCAGTTTTAGCCTCATGGCTGAAACCTGTGGGATAAAACACAGAGGCATCTCAGCCCTACGTGTTCCTCATATAACTCTGTTAATGTATACTGTCTGCGTACACATTTCCATAATGATAAGTTACGGGATCGCAGGTGATCCAGCCTCTAACAGTTTGACCCTGGGAAGCCAGACAGCTTTGAAGGAATAGTAGCCTTTAACCCCTTTACTGTAAAAGAGTAAAACTGTTATTTAGGTGTGTGATGAGTGGTGTTTAAAGAACTGCAAGGGGTTTTAAGTATTATCTTCAAATATAACAATCATAGCACAGATTTTAAGTAAGAACAGACTTGGTCTCGATGACACTCATACTCTCAGGTTGAAGTACGACTCATTTACGCAAATTGGTTCTTCGATAAATTTGTATAAATTATGTCATTACGTTAGTGGCTCCAGATATTGCCATGTTAAATTATCTAAAATGTTCCAGTAAAGCCATATGTGCTATTTATTATAGATTTTTGTTCAATTCAATCAGCCTCAATTCAGCTCATAAAAATAGTCTTTTAGACCTTAAATATGATTTGCATGAAATATACACACACGCACGTTTATATACAGAGAGAGGGTAATTGCTATAAAATTTGTACAAATAATTACAAAGAAATAACTAGTAAATATTTTTTTCAGTATATATGTAAGTGTGTATATAGGTAAAATTCAGGGCTGTCAGTTAAACGCGTTATTGCAAACCCATTTTAACGGCGTCAATTTTTTTTATCGCGCGATTAACAGTCTTTTTGGCCTAGCAAACTTTGTAGTTTTCTGTCGCATGCTTTTGCAACAGGACGCGGCATGCGCACGCTGCGCTATGAAACCCGTTAATTTCAATGGCTTGCGCCGCGTTAGGACGTTTTGTTGCTTCGCCGACCAAAGCACAAGCGGATCTAGCTAGACCGTAAACAAAACAACAGGCACGTCGCACACACTTGTTTAGGCTTGCGAGACGGCCAAATCGTTGGTTAACGTTACGTTTTGAGTGGATAACGAGCGCGAGACGCCGAAAAGGATGCCAATAAGATTCTGAATGGAAAGTTAACTTTTAAAAAGTTGCCAAATGGTTCCATTGACAAGACCAAAGTGATCTGTTTGCTATGACTTAGTTAACTGAGTTAACTATATCATTAATGCGATTAATCGCGATTAAATATTTTAATCGTTTGACAGCACTAGTAAAATTATAAGCAGAATTGTAATGGAATGGTTATTAGTTTAAGTTTAAATTTAATTAGAGGGATGGAAACTCTTTACACTTTAAACCGAGTGGCAATTAGCAATTTCGGCATGGCGACCAAATTATTCGTTTAAAATGGATAATATCAGTGGTTGCGTCATTTCAAAAGACTAAAACTACCATTTTATTAATAGTGATTATGGTTAATTCAGTCACCTTCTTTTTCACTGGATTTGTTTTTTTTTTTATTACAAATCGGTCACTTGCATGTCTCAAAGTTCGAAGTGCTTGCAGAAGAAAAGCCAAGCCAGAAAAGGAAAATATGACAACACAGATTACCCAGACTTACAGTAATGGGACATAAAATCTACAGCTGAGCTCTGCTGATATGTATGCAGAGGGCGTCTACGAACGTCAATCCGACCCTCAGGCAAAGTCATACGGTTAGCATTAAATCAGACCTGCGGTGAGATGGAGGAAAAAAAACGAAATGTAGAGAAGGGGGAAAAGTGTTTTAATTAAGCTCTTTAGGATGACCAGGCTCAGATGGAAAGAATCTATAAACCCTACAGTTTAGACAGAGAACGAAAGGGGCGAAATATACTGCCATGAGTAAAAACATCCTGGAGGGGCGTGCATGATACTGGGTCCCCCTCTCTCAGCGCTGTAATGAAAACCAGGTACAGTAAAGCTGTAAGTTTTTTAACAGTCCCTCAGCTGTCTCGATGAGACAGACCTATTTCACAAGGCGTTTGTCGTCACTCCAGATGCAAACATCTCAATGTTTCGTGGAGATGTTCCAAACTGCATGCAAAGAAAAGTTATAAACCCATATAAATGTGACATGCACCCCGCAGACGGAAGAAGAAAACAATTAGTGTTGTACAAAAAAAGTGTTTTACGACATTACTGAGGGTGAGAGCTGAAAGAGAGGAGAGTCGTTCGTACGTTACCACTGGTTTCGGGCGGTTTTGTGAGGCCAAATATTTCCGCTCTTTCCCCAAAAGCTGTGGGATTTGCCAGCAACGCTAGAAGTGTGTGTGCGTCTGCTCCGCAGCAAGAAGGCTGATAAATGTCAAAAACAGACAGGGGCTGCTCTAGCGTTTAGTCGGGACTCGCTCGGGCAGAACTTCTCCAGTTCTGTCTCTGCAAGATTCAGAAAAATGAGGGTCGTGACAAGATACTGCCTCTCTCAGGCGAAAGAATTTGGTGATTTTGTGTGTCCTAATTACTAGGCGAGCACGGATACTGTACTCAAACAGAGAGGTGGCATCTGGCTTGTCATTACCACCTCTGTAAAAGCATTGTGTGAGTGTGTGAGGCTTGAATGAGCTGATCAGAGGGTGTCTGGACTGGTTTTCAGGCGTCTTTGGACGGGTTTTCAAGCTGTATTGGTCGACCCCCTAATGCTCAATGAGACCGTCCCATCTCACGTTTCAGAGGGTGGGAACTGGGACCACTGAGCTGAAAACAAAGATCTCAACTTTCCTTCCAGTTTTTTACACGGAGGGTCGTGGTCAAGCAGTTGTGTGCTATAATTAGATTGCAGCTGTAAAACACATCTAATGTCCATTATTTCATTTATATGCCTCAAAAGAGCGATATATTAAGATTATTAGTATCCTCAGAATGTATGATAAAGATTAATATGGCTGGGAATCACAGTGTTATCAAATATTTTAGACCAAATTTGGCCAGATTGTTTGTATATCTTTTCTCTGCCAATGAAAAAGTTTCCAAGGGAAGCTAATCAAGCTTTGCGTGTCACTAACTAACTGTTGTATAATAAGATTAATGAATATAAAATGTATTTGGCAGACTGTGTTCTGAACTACTTAGTGTTGTTGCACTGTTAGAAATATTAGACTCACAAGAGGTACACCATTGTTCTTTATGAATCATTTTAGCCATTTATCACAACATGTTATATTCAAGATCTTTTGACTTTAAACAAATACAATGTTTTTTAGTCAGGGAAACAGTTTTTGTTTATTCTCTGTATAAAGAAATAAATCTAAATATATCTTAAGAAATTATTTGTATCATTATTTTACTAATTTATAACAAGTTTTTTGACATTAAACAAAGATAATGCAATTTTATACTAAAAAGGAATGTTGTTCGTTTGCTGTGACTAAAAGTTTAAGTTAATCTGTAGACAAAAAAATAAAATAAATTGTATACATCTTGTGTAGTTTTATAGAAATTCTTTAAGAGTGCCTGAAGATTTGGAAAATCAGACAGCTGATTAATTTTGACCTGATGTTTATGAATTAAATGGTTGGCATTTATGAAAAAGTTTGTGCAAAAACTCTTTATGCTTCGACTTTTTTGTAAAGAACTTTGAAGGAACTCTTTATAGCCTTTAATCCGTGGAAATTACAAAGTACTTTTCTTTCAGGTCAAGTCCTAACAACAAACTAGCAGATAGACTTTAACAAAGAGCAGTTTGAGACATCATGCCAGAGCTTTCAGAATAAAACGATCTTCAGAAACGCATTGCAGTTAGGATTTTTTTTTTCATCTCATGAGAATCTAAATTGAAAACATATGCAACCATAGATTGAAGCTGATATCACTCTTACATGATCAAATGCTTTGTCGTTCCTTGCAACATCTCATCCAAGGGATTTAAGAGTTTGTGTGATCATTTTGAACAGTATACAAAAGTGCTTTTACTGTATAGTCCTCGTAGATCCTACGTAGATGAGTTTTAAGAGATGTAGATCAAAAGAGTGTTTAACTGTAGTGTGAAATTAACGGTGTAAGATGTTTCAGCACTTTAGGATGTTTTGACTTGCCATCAGGTAATGGCCGGAGATTTGTGACTCAACCAACTGGAATGAACAGCTGCGACTTTTCACTGTTCGTAACAACTCTGCGTGTGCTTTCTTTATACATGTTCCTGGTCTTAAAGGGATAGTTCCCTTTGAAATTATTTTTTGATATGTTTTAGCTTACCTCAAGGGCATACAAGGTGTAGGTGTATTTGTTTTCGAAGTAGTTTAGGTCAGTCCGTCCTTGTCTCTCAGTCATATGGGGTGGTGCAGTGGATAAGACACATGCCTTTGGTGTGAGAGACCCGGGTTCGAATCCACTGTGAGACATCAATGTGTCCCTGAGCAAGACACTAAACCCCTAGTTGCTCCAGAGGCGCACGACCTCTGATGATGATGATGATGTTTATTTCAAACCCGCATTCTAGTTTTCTCACACATCAACATTACAGGCTACATAAACAATTTATACAAGTGCATGGTTTGAAAAGGAGGTGGATGAAGCAACGCTTATATAATTCCAAACCCCCTCACATTTAACACAAAATACAATACAAAAACAATATACAACAATATACTCTGACATAGCAATTGTTAGTCGCTTTTGGATAAAAGCATCAGCTAAATGAATAAATGTAAATATAATGCATGTCTATGGTCACCACCTCAAAAAGCATGCACAAAGAAGTCCAAATTAAACATGATTTAATGACTCGTAAATGTAAGTACACATTGATGGCCTAAGACACGAAACGAGCGGTTTGTGTGAGAAAACGAACAGTATTTATATTGTTTTTAACTCGGGTAACCAAGAGATCTGAGGGCGCGGAAACTTCGGTCTGGAAAAATCCGGAAGTGATCTCTCGCACGTGTACGTCACTCATTGTTTACACTGAGATTTCGGAAGTGTTACCATTCACTGTGAAGATCTAAACATATTTACATTAGAGCCAGACCGATATATCGGCTGGCAGATATTATCGGCCAATATTAGACATTTTCTAAAATATCGGTAGGCAGTTATAATGGCCGATAAATGAATATTTAAAAATAAAATCAAAACGGACGAATCACGCTTCAACCATGTCATGAGTGTTGTCAAAAAGTGCAGGTAAAGGGTTAAGCAAGCTGACATTGTAATTATAAGGTAGTTTATAACTATAAGGCAATGTAGGGACTAATTATTATTTTATTTATCAGAACTTTCATATATTTTGATGTTCCTCCGTTCCGTTGTGACAATAGAAAAAAGCTTCTTTTTAAAATGCATTATCATATTATTTAAATTAAAACTCATAAATAAATAACTAATGTTAGGGAAATCTGTTAATATTTTGTTGCGCGTTGCTGAAATAAAAATAATAATAATATCGGCCGATATATCAGAATATCGGATTTTAAAACCAACAAATATTTGTATCGGTATCGGCCTTCAAAATCCTTTATCGGTCTGGCTCTAATATGCAGACATGCAGAAAATCGCAATTAAAAAGACGATTTCGATATATCAACAGACAACGTTTAATTTTTTTTCCGCGACCGCGCAAGAGATCACTTGGTTACTTCTCTGTGCATGCTCTTTGAGGTGGTGACCATAGACCTCCATTATATGACTGACAGACAAGAACGGTTTGACCTGAAAAATATCAAAATGTAAAATTACTGCGGAAACAAAGACATCTACATCTTGGATGCCCTTGAGGTAAGCTAAAACATACCAAAAATTAATTTCAAAGGGAACTATCCCTTTAATTGTGAATTATCCATTGGCGTACATGATTCCTAAGGAAAAAGATCGTCTTTAATAGTTTTTAATCAAAATAAGGTCAGTTGCTCCCCCTCTGACATGGCTTTTACGTCAACAAGTACTCTTATTTTCCAATTCCATCCCTTGAAAATATCTATCCTACAGAATCAGCATCAAGTCCCTCCCTTCATTTTCTTTCATCATGGAAGTAAAATGGTTTGTGAATGCTACCTCATGTTGGATTCCTCATTACTGTTCACATATTAAGTTATGAGAGTTGGACATCCTTCTAGTTCTGTTTTAATGTTGACTCAACCAACATGGTGCTCTTTTCCTGAAGCAGCTCACCAGAGCATGTTGAATTTTAGGATGTCTTTAAAAAAATCCCTCTTTCCACAAGAGAATTCCATTGGTTAGAATGGTCTATATAATGTCACGGACCATTTGAAATGTACTTTGAGACCCAGAAGGCTCTTTCACACACATGCCTAGCACCATGATAATGTCTATCAAAAGGTTGGACTGTATTTTTTGCATTCAGACGTCTTTTTCCACTGTGGTAATGTCGGTTTGCTTCAGCATCTGGTTCACTATATTTCCTTATGGAACTTTTAACATAATGGAATATTTTATGTTGTGCCAGAGAGCTTGAGTACTCAGCAGTGGCATGTGTGTAGTCAGCGGTTTTATGTTTCTTTCCCTTTAGCTGGGTACCTCAAAATCGCCCTTGAGGGGCTCAGATTAACATTTCAGTTTTGGGTCACCCACACTTAACAAACCTTGGTGGAAATTAAATAATGTTTTGTGTTTCTGAAACTAAACCTGCTGAAAATTCACTTGCAAGAATCTCACAAGGAAGTTCTCAAAATTTCACATTTTTTTTTTAAACATTTAATAAGTCGAAGATCCCAAACATCCAGTAAGTATTGGCCTCTGAACAAGCCCAGAGACTCTGGTTGTTCTGTCTGGTGTTTTAATAACTGTTGACAGGGATCCGTGGGGAGTATAACATGTCGTTCCAGGATCAGACAATAGAGGTATAGAGTTCAAATAATGGTTGGGTTGTTTAAAGGATGTTAAATTAATGGCTTAGTTCAAAGAAGCCTTGAAGCCTTTGGTCAGACCTGTGTCACATTTACCGAAAACAGTGATGTCTTTTTGAAAGAACTGTTGAACTTTTTCATTTCTTTATGAAGTTATTAAAATATTTATGGGGAAGTAAAAGTCAATGGAGGCAAATTCAATCATGATATTCTAGTTAAACTCTAGTTTCGAACCAAATAGTTTCAAAATCTTTAATGTAAGAAATACAATTTATAAGGAAAGACATTTGCATATGCAGAGTAAGAATTTGCATCATTTTAATGTTTTCCATAAGTACTGTTAAAACTCCATATATAGATATTCTTCCAGATTTTTTTTTTTTTTTTTGCACACTTTTGTTGGTTTTTGCAAAGAAAGGGTGCAATGAATTACATAACTCATTGACTGACCAAAGTCAATGTGTACGTGTAAAAATAAACATTTGCAAAAAATTGTAAATAGCTCGCTTTGAGAACGCAACAGTGTTTAGTCTCTTCACAATCACGAATTTAGACAGGATTCAAAATACTTGTTAGAGAAAGTCTTTGTGTTTACCAGAGGAAACATCAAGTTAATGGTGTAACTGACTGCATTTCCCAACTGTGTAATGTGGGAATTGGGAAAAAATTCTGGAAAGTTTCGTCTAATGTCTATTGGGAAAGTCTGATGGATTTGTGTAAGGGATTTGTGATGCTCATGTCGGTTGGTGCGCTAGGCCGGTTATGGGAATTATCATGTGTTTTTAATGAGTTAGTTGAAATACGGCCAAATGAGGGGTTACATTTAAGAGTAGTTTTATTAGATAGTCTTAATTACTTATTAAAGCAGTTTCCATGTGTTGTAATACATAATTGAGTGTAAGTAAGGCTATAATTTCTAACTGTATTTAGTGGTTTCTGCAAAAGACAGAGATGGAAACATTTTTCTTCTTTTATTTTATTATTTACTGTCAGCATTATTAAATGCTTCTGTGTAGTCAATTTTCTCTTCTGTGGTCCTGAAGGCATAACTATTAAATGTCTTCAACTCACTCTATTTATTAAAAAAACACTTGGAATATTAGGATACTAGGGATAGTTAACCTATCCCTAAAAAGAAAAATGTTGTTATTTGCTCATCCTTATTTAATGCCAAACTTGTATAACTTTATTCGGTCAAATATTCTAGACTCTTTTTTTTAGGTACAACCTTTGCAATGCACCAGTGAATGAAGTTTATAAGACTGGTCTGAATGATTCGTTAGTGAATTAGGCTAATCCAGTTCTCAATGATCCAGTCACAACAGTTAACTTTGAAATTTATCAATGAATAATGTTTTTCGCTGTCTTTTTCTAACAAAAGGATCATATGAAGAGCTTGACCTTAACTTTTTTGCTCACAGTCTACTTTGGCTAGTGGTTTTCCAAAGTTACTAGCCACTCAGCATTTTCACTGGCCACAATTTTGATATCGATACAATGGGGAAAAACTGCCATATATATATATATATATATATATATATATATATATAATATCCAGTGTTGGGTGTAACTAATTACTAAGTAATTAGTTACTGTAATTTAATTACTTTTCCCTTGAAAATGTAAAGTAAGGGATTACTCTTCATTTATCTGTAATTTAATTACAGCTACTTCTGATGTAATTGAGGGAAATACTGTGTATAGATCAATCCGTTCTCACAGCGATTCGTATGCATTTTAGGAGGTGTCTAAATTGTACGACCGCACTCGTACAAATTCGTATGAATTATTGTAAAATATCTATGGAAAAAGTGTGAAATGTCATGAGATCAGACATTAAAACAATAGTGGGTTTAACATCGAAATATATTGTCTGATGCTAAAAAGTATGTTTTTATAATGTAACCTTCTCCACCTTGGTCAGTTTAAGGATAATTCATGCAATTTTATAGTATTTATTTGAAGGAATTAAAACTGATGTCTATCCTTGTATATTCAGCTGGTTGAGATTGATATGGGATTTTGAAAGTAATTAGTAATTAAAAGTAATTAGATACTTTTAAGTGAGAGTAATTAGTACAGTAATCTAATTACACTGTTGAAGAGGTAATTAGTAACTAGTAATTAATTACTTTTTTAGAGTAACTTACCCAACACTGATAATATCATAATTTGGCAGCAGGTATATTAGGCTGCTGTCACTTTAAGACCTGACGCACAGATACATGATACTTTTACCCATCCGTTTTCTTTCTTAACTGTTCACATAAAACATAACTGATTGTGTTTACGTGATTACTTGCCAAGTCTGGCCTTTTGACTTTATTTTTTTATATTTATTGTTTAAGCGCAAGAAGCAGCGTAAAAGAACTAGTGCTGGGAAGCGTTTCAGATATTTCAGCATTCGATTATGTATTGAAAAATGTATATTTTTCACATTGCACTTAATTTATTATTTCAGATGCCTTTTTAAAAAACTACAATTGAAAAACTGTATATGAAGAGTTCAGATGCAAAAGCCTCTAAATGCCATTTGAAATTTTCTTCTTTAATGATGATTTTTATCAAACTTGTATATTTAAGTTCAGTGATTTTACTTAAATAACAATTAATAGGTAATTATCATTGCCATTTAAGTGAAATCACTGAACTTAAATATACAAGCTTGATAAAAATGATCATTCTAGAAGAAAATTTCAAATGGCACTTAGAGGCTTTTGCATCTGAACTCTTCATATATTATATAATATTCCAGCCGCATTTGGCGAGTTGGTGGGTGTAATTGTCAAGCCCTAATCGTATGACTTCAGAAGACTTTGAATGTAACACTCAAATCGTAGGAACCAATTTTATGGTGCTTTTCGGTCATTTTAGAGCCTGAAAGGCAGCCCTAGTCCTGTATTTGAATATTTAATTAAACAGCACTCAGGACATTCATTCTTGAAAATGTACATTTTGTGTTGCAAACAAGCAAGAAAAAAGGCCAAACTGGTTTGGGGAGTAAATAATGACAGTTTTGGTCGAACATTTTGTCCTCAATGCAGAAAGTCTCAGACTGTGACATGATGTAATCTTGCCTTGTTATGGAGCAAATGCCGTAATTCAGTTTACAATTACATAATCCTTTAATATGTAAATATCTTTGTACTTTGTTTGCATCCGTTTTGTTATCGGCCAGTGTTTTGGAACCAGGTTGCTGTGGGTCAGTTGGAATCTGTCAGGACTTTTAATTCCTTTAACACATGAGTGTTTTTTTTGGCAGGACAAGTACCCAGACGTGGTCAGCCTTCCAGAGGGATGCAGATCGGAGCTCATGATTATACGAAGTCCTCAACTTCCCGGGTAGGTTGCATCAGCTTAGAAAATTAAATGGAAACTGCAGTCCGTAACTTTAGCTCTTTGCCTTCCTTTAGAGGCACATGTGGCAACAAGGTTCATGTACATTTATATGGCTACCATGACTGATATCTCCAGATTACATGCTTGAAATATGTTAAATCAATGGCTTTATGTTTTTCAGGATCTCCATGACCATATTCTGGAAGATTGATGTGTCTAAGGAAGGAGTGGTAAAACCAACGCTTGAGCTCTTGCTGAAAATGCCAGATCAGGGTAAGACGAGTGAAATATAGATTAAGGGATAATGTTGTCTATCTGAATTGATATTCTTCAAAGGCCATTTTTACTTGTCTAAAACTAGCCATTTGGATTATCAAGATGTCTCCATTAAGATATTCTAACTAAGAAACTTGGAAATACTCACGGACAACGATCAAATAAACATTTCTGCGGTTGCTACACGGCGCAGTGGCTCAGAATCAACTATTTTCTTTATACTTGTACAATTCATAATTCCTACTAAAATGTTTTATTTTGCTTTCATCCGAACAGCTCGAGAATTGGACACCAAGAAAGTGATGGAAAACGGCTCGGATTACTTTCAGAGCCTGCTGCGGATTCTCGGGGTGGAAGCGTCAATCGAGGCCTTGATCAGAACCGCGTGTTTGTGATAAGTCAGAAAACACAAGCCAACATTCACGTCATCAGAACTTCATATCTAATCATTTTATTTGATATAAACACCTGTACAATCACCCATTAGGAACTACATATCGATGCCATCTGTAAGTGTCAATCATTTTTACGCATGATATGCCCACACTGTGTGGGCATCGTAAATATACATCATTAGACAAGAGCTAGAAAAATAAATAATTTTAAATACAAAATGTCTGACAGCAAAATCCACTTTGTATTTTCAAATAGTTAAATTTTAACATTAGATTACATCACAGAAACTGTGATATTCCTTTCTCTTCTTGCTTAACAGAATTAATGTCCATTCCTACCTACATAGTGATTATAGATCTTTATTTCATATTTTCACCCTCAGACTCACAATATCTCTGGTTCATAAGGGAAAGATGGTGTTAAAACGAAGGCAAAAACAGCAATGCCTGGTGTGGAGAAACTGCACTTAATCAGATACAATATAACACACGTTAAAACTGAGCAACATGACGGTCAAACAAACGACATTGGTTGGACAACGAAAGCGTAAGGCGTATAATACTTCTCTTGACACCAGTTCACATTAAGACAAAAGGGAGTGTCAACACAGTTTGGCAATGTTGAATGTTCATCCATGTAAATATTCACCTGATGAGAACTGCATTGACGGCTTTGAGTTGAGCAAGCCGACGCAGTCAACATCACAGTAAAAGAGGTAAACAGAAGCATGAGTATCACTCACACCACAGTATTTTGTAACAGTAATATTTCCCATGACAAGAAAATTCTTTAGTTTTGAAGTCGCACAGTAAAATTCGTATCAACCGTCATTGGTTTTTCGGTAGAAGGCGCTAAACTTGCACACAATGTTAAATCAACACCGCCATTTCTGTGGCACAATATACTGCTGTTCAACTTCATCAACTTCTGTAAAGTGCTAACGACAACTGCCATGCTGTCCAGCTTTGGCCGACTTACAGCCAATTAAACTGTTCTATTAGTTCATTTCAAAACACGAATAAGTGTATTAATGTCAAACACAGTTGTAGATGGACAGGCGCAGTCGATTTTGCATTTTACAGCAGTTTTTTAGCGGGGAAGTGGCGTTTGAGGTGATAGACTAGCTTTAAAGAAGTAGTTCATCCAAAAATGAAAATTCAATCATTATTTACACACCTTCATGTCGGTATATTCAGGTTTTTCCACATATTTGAAGGTCCAATAAAAAGCACCATAAATGTAGTCCATACAACTTAAATTTTAAGTGTGTTCTTCACTCAAAACCGAAGTAGTTATTCACTGATGATCTTGTTGTTCGTTCATGCTCAACACCCAGCAGCGTTTTTGTCCAATACGGACAAAATGCCCGGTTAGAATGAACTGCCGAGCTACATAAAAATGATTCAGCCGTTTTGATTAGATTTGCAATTGCATGAGGGTGATGAGTAAACAATGGCTTATAATGTTTATGTAGTGCAAACTAATCTTTAATAAGACACTTCGATTTGTATATGGCGGTAGACGGTTACACCAGGCAAGCGTGCGTGTTATAAAAATACACTTTCATTAGAGAGTAATATCATTAGACTTATATTCAAATTCATAAAATCTAATTTCTGGATAGTGTGACAGTGTTAGCGCAACCTCATTCGCTAGCATGCAACAGGTCTGTGCTTGTCAGTATAACTGCTACTGTAGCTCGCCGTGGGTCAATGGTTTGAGGAGCTCTAGGGATGTAGTCTTGCTAAAAACTCAAGTACTTGTCTGCCTTTGAACTTGAACGACGACTGCTGACACGGCCAAGTTGATGCATGGTAAAACGTTCATTAGGGAAAATCGCTGTAAGCCACGTTTTGGCACTTGGAAACCACAGTAGCGCTGCTGTGTTAGAGAAACACCCAACAGCACTGCACAAAAACACACACACAACCTCCTTGTCCTCCCTTTTTATAGCCAATGACTGACTCGTTCAGGTATTCTGTGCTTTAGGAGACCAGCCCCAGTGAGAACGTCACCCTCTAAAAAGAAAAACAAAAGGTCGTCCCGGCAACAGCCCACCGTCGCTGCCAACTTCGCGTCGCAGAACATGCTGGGAGGGCAAACGGCTAGACAGACTAGCAAACAAAAATAACAAAACTATATTTCAATTTCACTTCTACGCATTTTCCAAGCAGCACTTGTTGAGGTGTCTCATACGGCATGGAAGAGCAGCGTGCACTCCTGCCTTTCCTTATATAGGCTGGAGGGGGGCGGAGCTTGCGTGCTCCGCAGGTAGTAGTTGACGATTTTGGTGTCCAGCTTGTACTGGTGAGGGATTCCTTCGTACGGTTTGGGGTCCAGATCCAGGATGGAAACGGAATACGTAAAGCGAGGCTTCTCTAATGTCAACTGGTGTCTGTAAACGCAAAGCAAGTGCAAAGTAAAACTCCCGCAATCGTCGAAGGGCAATTTAATTTAAATAAATAACTGATATTATATAACTGCTGTTTAGTTGTCTCTAAAAAGTGTAAACAAACTTACTCCTCGTCTTCTTCGCAAGGTGCAAACGTGATCATGATCGAGCAGTCTTTGGCGGTCATTGCAACTCTATACTGATGAACCTGGAAAGTGACGAGATGCAAGGAGAAATTAAAATCTGTATTGCATCTCTGAAAATGTATCTCACTTAGAAATTTGTCCCAAAATATTAATATTAGTTTTATAAACAAATAAACTTGTATTTTATTCAATACCGAAAACTTTTTTTTTTTGTAGCCCTCCAACCGTATTCACTAATTGTGGACAAATGTGGGCACAGAGGACTCAGGTGTGATCCTAATTTGTATTTATTATAAATGTTATATCACTGTCTTCGATAACGTTTTGTCTATCCATTTATGGTGTCTTTTTTTATTTTGGGGGTATTTTTGAATTTATATACTTCAAAAAGTACCATATTTTCTGTGTAAATTATGCTTATTTTTAGGTTTTATTTTTTTAACAACATTAAAATATCATTTTAATAAGTTCTTAGAGCTAAAACCTAAAGATGAAGTGACTTTGCCGTCACCTGTTGTCTTATTTTGGCTTATTTTAGAAAGCTCTAAATTACAGTTTTTCCCATTCATTTCTATGGGTGCCCATTGACCCAAATACAAGATTAAGGAGTTTTTTTTTTCACCAACTTAACATTGTAGAATTGAGTCAAAAACAAATTATGTGTGTTCAGGAGGCAAACTCAGGAAAAGTAGCCAAGTCTTGTACCGCTCAGATCAAGGGAAGTATTTTTGAAAAATAAATTAAAACTGTTTTGCCCACATTTGTCCAGAATACGGTTTTACGCCCAATTTTAGGGTGAAATACAACCAGTGAATTTCTTATTATGAGATTCACACCTAAACTTGAAAGCATCACATGCTCACAGTCTCACCTTCCCAACAGCATACTCAACAGACCCGTCATCCTCAGTGGGACAGTTTTTAACCGTGTCCATGAAACTCTCATTATAAGGCCCATCTATCTGCAGTCGGTTTCTGGGGATACAAACAAATGTTGATTAGATGTGCTTTTAAGCATGTTTATTCATAAAGATGATGTGGCTTTGCATGGAAATCACCAACGATCACACTGCACACCACCATGTGGCCACAGTGCCTCATTACTAGATAAAGTACCACATCCACACAGTCTTTTGCACCACCTAGTGTTTTCATCGTAATGTCTTCTAGGAGACCACAATAAGACTTAAAATTGTTTGAAAATAAGGTGTATTAATACTTATAATAGTAAAACTAAACCAACTGTACTGCATTTTTACATATTATGCCAGTACAAGTGAACACTGCACAGAAATATCCGCCCTGCTCAGCAAGAACAAACGCTTCTTTCACTGGAATATTGATCGGATAGATCAGTAACGAAGCACTCAATATCCCAGCTTAAACATTCACCTTTCTTTCGGGAACTCCTCTAGATACTGCTCGACACGTTTGTACAGAGGGTAGATTCCTTCAATATCCAGGTTATCCAGCATCTGTACTTGGAGGATTTTTGAAAGGACGCTGTCTTTAGGGAGGCCATGGTTACCTGTGTAGATATGAAAATGAGCTCAACGTGTCCTCCTGGACTTGCATAACAGATACGATAACCGTCATATATATGCAGCAATAATCGCCACTTATGTGTCTTTTAAAATGCACAACGAGTTTCGTTCTAGATATATTGTGGCTCAACAGTTAAGTGATTTGTATTGGAACTAATACAATATTTTTACAATATTACCCATCCAAATATTCATTAGTTAGCAGTTGGTGAAGGCCTCACCGTTACGGAGCAGGTCTCTTGGGAAGGGACTGGCTTCACAGTGCGGCCTGCTTTCGGACAGGTTTATCTTCCTGGGCTCCCCCGAGCGATTTGAGTCCCCGCCGCTGAGCAGGGAGGAGCAGATCACCCGAATGAACTCGTTGAGGACGGCTTTTCCAGGCTGGTGGCCCTTATAAAGGCCGTTACTATGGGGGAAATAAGGCCAAAGGTGCTGAATGAGATCATTCAAGTCGGGTTGCTGCTTGGCGTCGTCTTTACAGCTAAATATCAACTCTCCGCCCTAAAAAAAATGGGAGAAACAATGAATTAATGCAACTTTTCTTTTATAACCGTTTTTTAATGAATCAAACCAATATACAAACAGAAGCTATTTCTTTTTTTTTTTTAAATCCCCGCTTTAGCTGGTTTGCTAGTTTAAGCTAGTCACACATCTGGACCTATTTGATGATCAGCAAGATAGTTTTCCAGTTAAAAAAACTGTACTTGTCTACCACTCCCAGCCGAATCTGGTTAAGACCAGTAAACTGCTGTTTTTAGTAGCACTACTTCCACGTTCCAGGTTAAATTAAAGGAGTAATTCACTTTTAAAAAAAACTTTTGCTGATAATTTACTCACCCCCCCATGTCATCCAAGATGTCCACGTCTTTCTTTCGTCAGTCGAAAAGAAATTAAGGTTTTTGATGAAAACATTCCAGGATTTTCTCCATATAATGGACTTCATTGGGAACCAAACGGTTCAAGGTCCAAATGAGAGTTTCAGTGCAGCTTCACCAGACGATGAATAAGGGTCTTATCTAGGACCCTTCGAGTCATGACTCGAAAAAAGATTTGTTCATTTTGATGAACGAGTTTGAAAAGGAGAGTCACAAACGCTCATCACAGAACAGAGCAAGGCGAGCATTTGTGCTTATAAAATGTAAACTTTTTTACTTATTTTTGAAACGAACGATCGTTTCGCTAGACAAGACCCTTATTCATTGTCTGGTGTCGTTTAAAGCCCTTTGAAGCTGCACTGAAACTCTCATTTGGACCTTGAACCGTTTGGTTCCCAATGAAGTCCATTATATGGAGAAAATCCTGGAATGTTTTCATCAAAAACCTTAATTTCTTTTCAACTAAAGAAAGAAAGACATGGACATCTTGGATGACATGGGGGCGAGTAAATTCTCAGCAAAAGTTTTTTTTAAACGTGAACTACTCCTTTAAGATTTACTCAGTAATAAAACTGAGACCTACTGCAAATCAGTATGCATGACATCGTCGCTGACTGTTACTTTTCGAATGCTGAACATTCTATAAATGGAAGTCGAAGGAAAGTTTAAAAACTCCGAAAATAGACCTTATTCGAATTTCTTCAGCAAAACAATCCAAAAACACATTAAATAACAGTTCAACCAACTGAAGAGATTCCCGTAAAAAATCAAAGATGGCACTGATAAGGTATATAGACAGCAGGCTATTTACCTTAAAGATTTTCAAGTTGTTTTGTGGTTCCTCTAACAGATTTTTCAATGCAACGTACATTCGCTGTTTGCTCCTGGAATACAAGTTATTCAATAACATCCAGGTTAGTAAAATAAGATACATTTTTGCAAACAAAGGGAGAAAAAAAATGATTTGCCATGACAAGAATTAAAATGTTAAGGGATTATATGGATTGTCACATCTGATTCTAAACCTTCTGTTTTCTTTAGCGTCAAGTAGCGTTATAAAAGCTTCATGCATGATAGGTTATGGGGCTGGTTTCACAGTGGAAAGGTGAGTCACAAAAAAAAAGAAAGAAAGAAAGGTGAATGTGGTCTTAGTGGAAAATTCTGTTTTAACAAAGGTCAGTTGGCTTTAGTGAATCTCTTTGCCGCAGTCAGTTAGATTTGTTAACAATGCTGGCTAAAGGTCGTACCATCAGCGAAAGATATAAATCCAGCTCTGATTTCCTGCACTGAGTGACTGAAGCGGTGACTCACCCTGAAAACAGATCCAGGGGGCAATATCTGCTCAATCGCTTCCACTTCCCATTGGCTAACTGCAAGAGAATAATGTTAGGAATTTTACTGTAAACTTTGCTAACAGCGTTTCGGTCAAGTACACCAACTTCAGTGACAGTCACTTGATGCACTCTCCAGTTTCCGTTCCACCTCTACTTTGGGACTGAAACTGATTTTCGTGCATCTTCTGCAGCCAAACCTCAAAAGGACTGATTTTACGATAGGGCACAGTACAAACAGAAAGCAGGATGTTGACACTACACTGAACCATCCTCTTTTTTCTTTTCTTTTTTAAATCAGAAGTTCACGTTTAAAAATCTGGCTTCACTTCAATGAGCCATGAGTTACTTTCATAACTATGAGGCCTTTGTAAAATTCTTAATTGCTACTTACCTTGTAATGCTGATGCATGCAGAATCTGCAAACTTTGCGTTTGCATTCCTTAGTTATATGTCTTGAAAAGGGTAGAAATCCACATTTTGGCTGGAGGGGAAAAAGTTCAAATATTTAGTTATATCTCTGCAGAGAAGTTTAGGTGTAACGGTTCACAAAATTCACGGTTCGGTTCGATACGATACACTTGTGTCTCGGTTCGGTACGTTTTCGATACAGCAAAAAAAAAATGGCTGAGAAATTTGCTTGATTTATTTATTTTTTAATTATATTTTTATATTATATATATATTTATTTATATTATATATATGATATTTTTACTTTGAGCGATGATGGAGCTATACTTTTCTTAGGAGCATATAAACAAAACAGCTCCTTGGACAAAATGAAATTTAATATTGTAGTAGTTATAAACAAAGGTTTATTTTAGTTCAGATTAACATTTGAGGGCAGCAATTGTACAGTATTCATAATGTCAAAATAAAACCGTCGTAATGTTACTTGAAAGCATTATAGCCGACTATTCCTGCCAAACTTCCATGGTTACAGTTAGTAGTGTTACTACAGTAAATCAATGACGAATGTTGCTGATCTGTGGACACTGGATAGTTCATTTATGGCACAATGTTTCTTCCTGGTTTCCACGTCAGCGCTATTTGATCCGTTAATAACGGAGAAATGTGAATGTTTCTCACTAGATCTCGCAGCGATGTTATTACTTCAGTGGCGAATTCAAATGGTTTCTTTACTGGATTTGGCTGTGTTGTAACAGTGCTGCCAGATTAAGATCGGCACGCGCTGCATTGGTCCAAAACTGATAAACAGTCCGTCAACCACATAATAACGAGTAGCTCAGCTTCATTACGCTAAAATTACATTTGCCATTTGATGTTGGGCAATGTTGTAGTCACGCCAGCATCTCGAGTGCGCTTGCCACGCCCAATGCGCCTACATTTGAAATAACGAAATTTTGGTCGGCAGGAAAAATGGTCCAACGAACCGTTCGGTTTGAAAATGCATACCGAAAACCGAACCGAAAGCCAAATACAAATAAGTGTATCGTTACACCGCTAAGCTTAATGCGAAGAAGGTTTTCTTGTTTTTATGAACACACAAACAAGCCTTTCAGATCAGATTCACGCCACCTTCCCCTGTTTGTTTGACTGACCATGTGATTAAATTCCACACAAATAGATTCAATGAGTCATTCAGCAACTGTGGTTTACTTCCCCAGGAATGGGCGTTTATAATGAACCAACCTAAAAAACTAGTTCTTGTTTTATATGAGATTCAAAGCGTTTATTTTAAAACAGTGTCTCCACCCTAATGGCATGAAGACATAGAAAACCCCATCAACAACTGTCAGCAAGTTCAATGAGCGGACGGGATAAGACATGCGTCACTAAATCAACACATTAAAGGTGCGGTTTTTGGCACACTTTTGCATAGTTTGAAAATGTAAATATTTTCAAAATGTGGGTATAAAAATTATATCAGTGTCATTTCCGCTTGAAGTACACACAAAAATAACGGTAGTGACGTGTCATGGCTATGCCAAGCTGAAAGTGGAGTTCACCTTGATTTCCACGCATATGGGAGGTCTGTGGTCTCTGAGGTGGTGGAGGGGAAGCTGGGTCAGGTTAGGGAGGCATAAACCACACCCGCTGAATGTGTCCATGACCTTGTCACAGCGCAGTTCTGCATGAAGGAAAGATCACAACACCATTACGCAACATCAAATCCAGTCCACAAAAGTGACTGCAACTCACATGAATGTGTTTGCAATGAAGAACAAACTCAATTTTTTTAGAGGGCGAAACTCCGGAAAACATTCAAGACGGATTTTACACCAAAAGTTTGAAAATTATGCTTGTTTTAGGACATAATCTGCGTTGCAATTAAGCATATTTTCCTGAATTGTCATTACCGTAATGGACCAAAATGTTTTACTTTGAAGTATACAGTAATGCCCATTAATCTCAAGGATTTTGCAATTAAAATACAACAAATACTAATATAAAGTATGAATACTACACTGTTGGTTTTAGGGGGGCATTACCGCAATGACACTGTTTTGGGTTTTTTTGCATTACGGGAATGAGAAATGGAGGAAATGTGTGTAATTTTTATAAGAATTGTCCCATTTTTTTAGCTAAAAGTTTTATTAATTTATTCCATTCTGTATCGATTTCATAATATTCACCAAATGTTTAAAAGGAAAAGGGTTTGGTCATTCGTACCAGGTCGTTCTTGTTGGACCTTCAGCGACAGCTGTCTCACAAAGTCTAGCGGTAGTTTGACAACCTCCTGTAAACAATCAAACCATTAGCTTCATCTTATTCGCTACATAACGGAGGCTTGTGTTGCAAAGCAACACAATGTATTAATGTACACAAACTTCTTGAACTGTAACTTACTCCGCTGTGAACGTATTTCTCCCCCAACAAAGGCTTCATGACATATTTACTATAATCCACAATGTTGAGGATGTGTCGAAAAGCTTGTTCTGCGGTCTGTTAGGAAAAAAGAAGGACAAATACAGACAACACTGAACACTTATTGAGTATTTACATTGTTGCAGATACCCTTTGTACCAAAAGAGACACTTTACTAACAATACAGTGAAACACACAACTATTATAAACTCAAATGTGACTATTTACAAGTTTTATGAAAAATGTACCATCACATTAATATTGTACGAAAAGGCAATACTACGGTGGCTGAGAGAGCTCAACACACTGCAACTGAATGCGTATTCGCAGTGTGTTTCTGTGTTTGGTTGGTTTGCGAGTTTGCAGCACATGTGTTGTCAAACTGATGACAATGTTTTCTTAATTTGTTGGTGTTTTTTCTTCAGTTTCAGTGCATTGAGCTCTCTCGGCCACCATACAATTCTGCTTTATGGTGCATATTTGAGAAGTTTGGGAATTTCAACTGTTTAGTAATATCGATTTGGGGAAGTTTTACCTGTCGTGTGTGTGCGGAGTCTTCAGAGGGAAACTTTAACAGACGGAGAACTTGACAGTGCTGTAAGAGAAGTGACGTGTTTGAGAACAAATTTAGCATTTAACTCATTTCACACAGACTTTGACCACTGTAAGTATCTTATCTTAGTCTTATTTTAGGTCGGAAAAAAGAAGGGAATCCTATGAAAAAGGTTTGCCTGTGACTGGACTTGTGTAAACAACAAATACTCCATCCACTCATTACGTTTGTCCCAGAATGCACTTGTACATAAAAAAAGGTCCACAAAGGTTAAGGTGACATCATCGCGTTGACGATAAACTCACTGACTGGCGGTTTGTTTTATGGACTGATGTAACCGATGGACGCTTAAACGCAAATGCAGTTTCTAAACACACTTGCTCAATGACGTTACAAAACTGACTTCTGCCTCACCAAATGTCAGACTTAAAAAGATAATGTTCATGAAGAAATGATGTGTAAAAGAAAAATAAATCAGTCAAATTTTTATAACAGTAGAGTACAATTTCTTAAATTGTCATCAACATAATAAATAAAAAACGTATTCTCATTACTATAATACAATGAAAATAATCCTATCCAGACACAATTCTTTTTTGTAATAATGAGTATTATTAAAATCTCATTACAGCAATGAGAATTTTTGAGGGGAAAGGTATTTAATTGTCGAGAAATTAATGTCATATAGTAAAAAAAAATGTTTTTTTCTTCTGAAATTTACCCCAAAATGTTGTTTAAACCACAAATCTTATTTCAATGTGAAACTGAGATGCTTTAATAATCTCACAAAGCCTTTCAGACAAGATGACGCGGGAACAGGCCAGCCGACGTGACAAAAAAAAAAAAAACCACACAACAGTGTGGGAGCATGAAAGAATGTCTGTAAACAGCAAATAGACATGGACAAGCCCTTGCAGGACTACAAGATCGCTTGAAATTCGGCATCAAAGCGTCACCCGTTTTCTCCACACCCAGTTTGACATGATTGCATTAACATATTGGCCAATGTTGTCTCGGGCTGCTCAGCTGCCTGTGATTGGATGCACACTCTTGTGTTGTAATCTGTAATACAAATCCAACCAGTTTATGACTCCCGAACATTTGATCCAGTGTTGTTGTTGTTTTTTTTTTAGTTTATTTGTCGTATGAGGGTACAGACACACTAATGAGCTGGAAAATCAGGCAAAGGTTAAGCTGTTCCCGTTTTACAGGAACATATCCTTGATCTTAACAAAACAGGGCCTTGATATTGCAATCCTAGTGAAAAAAGGAGTCAACTACATGCTAAAGGGAACTGATAAATGAATCATTTACATAAAGTTTCCATAACTTTTTCATTCGTCATATTAAGACAAATCTCAAATGCAGCTGATTTGATTAATTGTCCAAATAAAGAGGGTTCTGGTTGTTGCATGCTATAACCCAAGTACTATCTTACTTAAAACAGTATAACATAGCTTTAAATGTACTTTAAACATCTTTAAATGAACTTTGGCCAATGGCTAAAAGTGATCAGCATCAACATTCCCACCCACCCTAATCAATATTCATCCCCATCATCATGGTTTAAAATCGGTCTAGACCCTCATTATCTTTCACTTTAAACTGTTAAAGGTTTCCTATGTTAACTTTGAATCCTGTATGGGGAAACTATTAATTGTTGTACATTATATTATCTCTTATACTTCCCATTTAAGAGCCAAGTCAGATGCACAAAAGCAACCTCACACTATAAGATCACCAATGACCATTCCTTCAACGGCCACTGCATTATGCGTCCTACATTAAATGTGCCACTGAAATGGGTTTAATAAACTTTATATCTCATAAAGTGGGTGTGGCATGTTCAACACACGTGTCACATGTTGTACATTCACTTTATCAATGAATCTTGATTTAGCCTGCTAGGTGGCTTTAGCTTTAAACCCCCCTCAAGACCCCTTTAAGATAAAGAAAGAGTTCATTCCCGTCTACTGTTGGTGTAAAAGTGCCAAACGTGAAGTCCATGTCCTTTCCGAACAGTTTTAATTGATTTTCCATTGACTGAATCAGATTTGATCGAGTTTATATGAATCTTGGCTAAGCTAAAAGCTAGGAACTATTGAACACCAACCTGCAAGTGAGACACGACCAGGCTTTTGTTGCCCTCCCCGTGATATTTCCAGTCGTTTTCGTCCATTTTATCCAGTTCCATTACCCAGAAGAACCGTTAACTGATGGAGTTTTGGCGCAGATTTGATACTCTGGGCGAGATGATCGGTGTCAGGCGCAAAACTTCTGGTGGATCCGCGTCTGACACACCGACGGGTGTAGCGCTACTACCGCTTTCGCGAGGACACGCCTCCTCTGCGCTCTCATTGGTCAGACGCAGAGGTTGAGGGTTTTTCATTGGCCAAAAGTGTTTGACATTGTTAAATGCAGGCGCTGATTGCTTTCTAAAAACGTCAATCAAATGTTCGCCCGCTTCTGAATGCAATTTATGGACTGTCTATAAAATGATGTCATGAACGCATGACTTTTTTTTTTTTTTCAACAGAAAAACAAGTGAAAAATCACTGGCTCAATTAACTAAGTTTATAAGGAATGCAAGTATGTAATATATATTGTATTATATATATTATTACAAAAGCATGTTATTAAACTACTAAAAATGTGAAATTGAAAATAAAAGCTAATTGAAAGTATCAATAAATATCATATATATATATATATATATATATTGTATAAATATAATTGGCATGTTTTAAGCAGTTGGATATTAAGGGGGGGGTTGTTTTGTGTAGCATTAGAAAATATCTAATTGATTAAAAAATAACAACACTAAAACAATGAACAATGATATGTGAGACACTTTGGAAGGTATAATTAATAATTAAAAATAATTAAGTAGTCACTAACTGTGTTACTAATTTACTTACACATTCTTTTAAATTTAAGCCAACTATGAAATACTTTATGGCCTAATGAATGACATTTGGGAATGAATCTTGTAAATATTTAAAATACACACAAAATAAAAGAAATTGTCTTTTAAGATCACGCATATATAAAGTTTTACCTCAGAAAAAATTATCAATATTTTGATGGCATTTTTTTTATTTTTTGACTTACATCGAGATCATTCTCGAAATTAATTTATCGAGTAAAGTTGTTCAGAATTCTTTTCATTAACTGAAGAACATCTTTTCGACTTTGCTTTTATGATGTAGTGCAATGGCTTCTATTATATTTAAATTTATTTAATCTCAGTGGTTTAATTATCTATTTCCAACAGGCAAATTCCAAATATAAGTTTAGGACGAGTAAATCATTACACCAATATGATAAGAAGAAAGGACTCATTCATGTAGTTACATGAAATAACCACAAAAGACTAATATTTTTTTAGAAATTCATAGAAAACCTTTTTAATAGAAATTTTAAAAAACATATTCAACATGACTGTACAGGGAGCTTAAAACATACATGTACTCAAAATACATTTGTTTTCACCATGAGGTCAATAGGATGAAGAGTTCACCATTGATTTAAAAAAAAAAAAAAAAACAATATTTAAAAAGAAATCAAATGTGAGCAATGCCTGATTTAACGCTCACACACAGAATCACTCTTCAGCTGGAGCAAGTCATCATCCCGAAGGATTTGGACGGACTCGACTGTCCGATTCTCAATTCGTCTTTGCAGTGGTCCTTCTTATTTGAGTCGGGCGGTGGCGCGGACTCGTAGAGGACACATATGGACCCGTCCTCTCCAATCCGGTAGGACACTTCATACGGGTCGACCCACATGGTGAGTTCACTTGGGAGCAGTGAAAAGAGTCGATCTTTTGTGAGTCCGATCGTACAGGCCGCTTTGCCTATCAAAGGGTCCATCTTATGGTTGATCCGGATGCACCTGTAACCCGAACCTCGGCAAGGTGCGTTTGGGAACCAATGGTGCTGATAATGATCTACAATAAAAAAACAACAAAGTTAGGCCTTGGCATAATCAAACGCAACCTTTGATTAGCATTACTTGCCAAAGTTTAGGCTTTGTTAAGGCAGATTATGGGTTAAAATGGTGCAAGTTTCAATGAATGGACTTTGGTGCTGCAATAAACTGAATCTGATATTCGGCTGGTTTTGTTTGTAACAATAAACAACGTTCATTTTTTATTACAATCTATATCATTTGAACTATTGTTTACTTAAATGTATTTTAAACGACGGAAAGATCATGTCCAATCCTGTCTTACCCCCTAAAGATTCTTCCAAAGAGAATCTGAATTGTTGCAGCTGTTCTTCTGAAAGCAGTCCCGTTCCCCTCAACAGACGTGTGACAAAGTTAGCAGCAGTAGACACCTCGGTTTTCATCATGAAGTTTTTGCATGAGCTGAAAGGGAAAACGAGGTAAAACTGTGATACGCCATCAAATGTGAGCACGAACGAGTTTTTTAAGATCAAACAGCTCGAGTACATCTGAACTCAACAGGCCTGGCCAATGTCTTTGGCATATTCCTTTGTTCAAAACAACACGAAAAATCGCGCCTTAAACACTACTGACCTGCTCCAGTGAATCGCTATAGGGGTACAGAGAGTTTCCAGAGCTGTTGTGAACGTTTTTGTTAACGAAGTTGTAAAAACGGGTAAATAATTTTCTCTTTTTAACCGCGAACTTCCTCCTCCGGTGGTGGTGGATTGAGTACGTGCAGCTCCAGTTCTGAGCTCAGATGGTAAACACTCTGCAGCCACGCGCCTCCGCCAATCAGAGAGCGAGTTCGAGATGATGTCACAAACGAGCTATTTACATTAGTATCAATCTAGCAAGTTGTAGTTGTAGCATGAGTACTTTTATATTCTTATTTATAATATATGGTGCATGTAATTTAGTATAAGCGTTATTTAATCATTTTTCCTCTCTATTTGTACACAACTTGAATGCATTGTAAAAGTACGATTAAAAAAAAATCTCTTCACACAGATAAAATGCTGCTTGTTAGTTTTTAGGAGGTTCAATTTTGATGCATTCCACAACTTTAAAGCAACAAAAACGATTTGTGTCCATGTTAATGTTTTAACTTTTAATAGTAACAGTGTTTTGTTGTGTACCCATAGCATTTGTAATATCCTTCGATGTTAAGTACAGCTATTACATTTATATACAGTAGGCTAAGTAAAAATGCTGGCTACATGCTGAAACAACTTTTATGAGAACTTGATTTACGTTTCATGTCTACGAACATTAAAAAAATGAAACAAGCGTTTCCCACAGCACCATCATACATGTTAATTTTTTTTTATAAAAATTGTAAAAAAAAAAAAATGTTTTAAAAATACAACTTATTTTATTACGTGTTTTCTAAATGTGGGGGAAAAAAAATAATTCATAACGCGTTTGTGCATAACTTGTCTCATGAATGTCTCCGTAGTACGCTCGTTGGTCAATGGACCAATCATAGCGCACCATAAGACACTTGGGCCACGCTTCAGCCAATCAGGTGAGGTTTTACTACCGCATGCGCTTTCTCTGAACGCATGATCCCTTTCAACACCGAATGAGAGGCAGAGCTCAGAAATGCTTTCTGCTTCACAAGTTTTCTGTTATTTTGTTTATTTAGTCATTTAGGTTTACGTTAACAGCTCGTTATTAGTGTTTTGTCCAGCATGGTGTATGTTTGACGAGTCGTAGCAGCTTAATGCAGGAGTCTGAGAGGGACACTGAAGCAGGTAACTGATAAACCTGAGCACTTTACCACAGTTTTACCATAATAAACCCAGTATGTGACTCTATAAGACTATTGTATGTAGGTTAGGTATTATTTTCCGCTTTTGGATGGAAAATAACTGGATTATTTACTCTGAACATCTAGTATTTACGACTATAAATTACTTTAAATTGTTTTTAAGTGTGCACTACTGACATTAATGACAATTTACAACGTGCACAAACTGTTTTATCGGAAAAGGCTACTTTGCCGGACAAATTGAATAGTGTGTGTGTATTATATATATGTCTATGTCTAACAGTCCTGTCAAAAGTGTAGACGCCTGCTCATTTTTTTTTTTATTTTGACTTTTTTCATCATTTATCATCAATGAAAAATGATCATGATTTTTTTTTTTTATTTCCCAAAAGCACCTCATTGTCATGGACTTCCCACCAAGCAAGAGACTGAAAAGTCATCAGGTGTCAGCCGGACCCGACCCTTTTGATGATGACATCGATTTCACCCAGGATGACCTGGACCAGATTGACATCATTGCATCCCAGGCCGTCACAGGAGACGTCCAGAACAGTGGGTCAAAGAGAACGCTTAGTTCTGTGTTCGCTTGCGCTGATGAGCAAAGCAAAGCACCTGTGAGATCAGGCCGAAAAACATTTGCCATCGGAGACGGCTGCAGCAGTAGCGCATTTAACAACAAAGAGCCTCAGAGAAAGGATGTGTTTGGTTAGTATAAGATGTTTTGGACACACATTCCACAAGTCTTTTGTTTCCCAAACACTCCCCCTGTCTGCTTTTGGACTGAGCATTTTGTCTTATTCCCCACACAGTTCTTTCTTGCATTATATTATGTACTCTGGATAATATGGATATGTTATTTTGTGTTTCACAGAGCAGATTTTATACCAATAAAAACAGTCAGTTAATGATAGTTTATTATTAATTAATGATGTAATTTAACATATCAATCTAATACTATCATATATAATGATATTTAGAGTTTTTATTATAAAAAAATAATTAAATTAAATGATTTGAAATCAAATTTATTAAATATTATTATTATTAGCGAATATTTGAAATAGTTATTTTAATTTGACATTTTTAGCTTTGTATAAAAATGCAATGTAACTCTATTATTATTGATATATTTTAAGTCTAAATAATAAAGAAACTAAATATTATATAATTGGATTTTTACATAGTGCAAAAATTAACTCGGCAAAATACTGAGACTAAAATATTTCAAAAATAATAATATAATAGTACATTTAATAAGATTGCTAGATTATAATGCTTATTTAATTTAATAACCAAAAACTAAGCAAAAGACTGTGGGTATTCGACTTTATTCAATATTTGAATATTATTCAACATTTTTAATAATACAATATAATAATAATGTTAATAATACTCAAAAAAATCTAATTGTTATATTGGATTTTTTTACAAAGCAAAAATGTATTAAATTAAACAAGTATGTTTAAATATAATTATTATTAGCACTACATATTTATTTACAAATATAACACAATACAAATATTTTTTAATTAAATTGAATAAATATTAATTTGTGAATTATGTTATATTATTTTGAAATATTTTATAACTC